TTGCAAAAAGAAACAAAAAACAGTTTACAAAAAAAGAAAAAGTTCGGTATGTGAAAGCTGACAGCTTTTATTTTGAAAGAAATATTAAATCCCCTTTTATTTCCGGGTAAGAAAAGTTGATTGATTTATACGCAAACTATTTATTAATTTTCCTTTTCTTCTTCCTCTCCTCTTCAATAAAAGATTAAAATCCAGGCCAAATTGTATTGCTTTTTAATAGGAGCTGAGCCTGTTTATTTCATCAATGAAACATAAAAAAACTGCTTTTTTTAAGCTCTTCAAACTGCAGAGGACTTTTAATGAACTAAACCTCTAATTCAACATTACTATTATTTTATCATTATTCTGTCCTTTATTATATTATTTATCCATTTACATTGTATAATAATTAAGTTTATCTTGATATGCCCACTCACCTAATTGTAATTCAAGTAGTTCATGGCTGCTATTCAAAAGAAAATGTCTTAAAAATACAAATCATGAGTAATAACCAGCATAAATAAACATTTAAAGCTCTAATTTTGGAATAATTTCAAGCTTAAGCTGTTTAAATCTTCCAATTAAAAGCATTGGAATTTTCCCAATAGGAAATATAAGGAATGTCCTCTAATTAAACGCACAAACTTCAGGGAGAGGTTTCCTAAAAGTTGCAGCACAGACAAGACAATTTAAAAGAGGAAAAAGAAACCGACTGATAAGACCAGAGCTTGTGACTAAAGAGGAAAGAGGAGGTTGGAATTGTATACGTCACATATTTGACACATATGTCAATTATCACATTTTTTTTATAATGAAAAATATCTAAAAATGACAATCTGACTTAGATTTGGAATTGGTGGGTCACATGACCTGGAAGCTATTGAAGAAATATAAATTTTGTCTATAATAAAACATATTTAAAAATGAATCTGTTCCCCCTTGCAACTTTTCAAAACAAATGTCTATCACCTCTAAAGTTTCATGAGTGATATGTCATCATAAAATATGTTTATAAGCCTATAATGAAAAGCTGGGACTCTTTGTCTCTGATTTGGACAGGAGGGGACAAATTAAAGCAGAGACAGACAGCCCTATAAAATCTACAGCAAACTCTGTGGTTGATGAAGTTCAAGCCTAGTGTCTAATCCTAATCTTAAGAATGTTTATATTCCATCGGCGTCGCCAGACCCCATTTACTGGGGCACGTGCCCCAGTATAAATGAGCTGTGCCCCAGTATAAATCTCATGAATATTTGCAACAGTGGTACATTTTTTTAATGCATCAATTTAGATAATTCCAATGGAAGGAGACGTATATTTCTACTCAAATGCGCAGCAAGTGTGTTGTTAACTCCAAATTGAGGATGTATTAGCGCCCCCACGTCAGCGCATGTCACTGCATGAACTGCAGGTAAACTAACACGCTGCTCTCAACTGAGTTGGATGGGACACTGTGCGGCGCATTTTTTTTTTAATTGACAGGCAATAAACGTTGTTCTGGTAACGTTTCTTACCTGTCAATTTTATTATTTTCCCAGTGAAACCATATGCTTTATAGGCTACTAACTAAAAATGACTGCATTGGTTTGTAGATTGATATCAGGAAATTCCTCACACGAAGCAGAGACAGGGAAGCAGTAAAACAAGATGAGAGACAGGGAGGTAAGGTCCCGTGATGAATTAGTGATTTGAGCTAACTGGTTACATTAGGAACGTTATAAGCAATATGATAGATATTTACATAATTATAAATTTAAGTTTTTTAATGTTTGCTGTAGAGAATGAGAATGAAGGTGCTGGAGTAGGAAAGGGAGGAGGAGGCGAGACTGACAGGCAAGAGACAGGTGAAGGACAGGAGAGACAGGACCAGGAAGGTGATGAGGGAGCAACAACCAGCTTCCACAAACAAGAAGGGGACATTAGTGACTTAGGGGGAAAGCATGATGGTCCTAAACAAGTGAAGTTGTCCCACTATCCCCAGGACAAATTTGGAGTAAAAAAAACTTTCATTCAATTCAAAATGGTTTGAAAGCTTTTCCTGGTTGAAAAAGAAAGCCTTGTCATCAAGGATATGCAGTGTGTTTTCAACTTGCTTGATAACATCATATTCCCAACACTAACGCAGGTCATCCAGATCTCCCTCACAATCACAATCAACAGCTGTAGTTGTGAAAGGTCATTCAGTGTGTTGAGAAAGCTCCACACTTGGCTGAGGTGCACATGTGGGACAAGACAGGCTCCATCATCTTGCTATTTTATCAGTTGAAAAGGAAGAACTTTCTAAGCTGAGTCACAAGTGATTGACCGCTTTGCAAAAGTGAAAAATAGGAGGTACACTTTAATGCTCAATAAATAAGAGAAAAACTTAGTTCGGGTTGAGTTAAACTTTCCCCTGAACTAAAACTCGGAAACCTAGGAATTAATGATTACTTCAGAATGTGTATAAGGAAACTTTTTATTTTTAAAGTTGGTAATGTCTTATTTTTTATAGCTGCAATGTTGAAAATGTTCATGTTTGTTAAAACAAATATGCTCTTACACTCATTAATATCTCAACTGGTAATTTTGGTAGGAATATAGGGTGGGGCAGTGTGCTTGTCTGTATTTGTGTATGGAAGGAGGGGCATATGCGGTAGGGGGCCAGTGCCCCAGTAAAGCTTTGTGCCTAGCAACGCCCCTGTTATATTCCTATGGTGGATGTCAGGAGTTGATGTGGATACAATTCTGGCAGTATGGGATGAAATAAAACGCCTAATGTTAGAACAAAGACTGTTTATTAAGGATAGTACAAGATTGAGAAATTGTAAGTTAATATAAAACACAAATATAGATTTTAGTACTAAACTTCACACAGGAAAAAGTAATTTTCCTTCTGGATATAGACTTAAATGATTACACCTACACTCCATTTTCTATTTCATTTTAATTATATGTTGACAACAGTTTTAAATGGGATGAGAACATTTAGGCTCAGTGAAACAATTAATTTCTTTTAAGGAACATGTTGAAACGAACAAGGAGCTGTTGGCTTCCAGAGAAAGGAGTAGACACTGCTGTCAGCCACCTGCTTGCAAGCAAACGCTGGTGTTTTTTTTTGTTTTTTCTTAAATCAGTATCACTGGCGATATTCTGCTATAACATGTGAAGGGAAGAATAAAACAGAAAAGCTCATATTTCGTAAACATAAAACCTTGGCACGACACCTGTCGATGTCAGGAGGGAGGTCTTACTGTATAAATGCATCTCAGTTTCAGTCTGGTCTGGTCTCAGAAGTATGTTGGAACAAAACATGGTCTCTACCCAATAAGTATCTTCTAGCAAACAAGGTTAAAGAGGTTTCTTTTAAGATTATTCACCGCTGTTACCCAGTTAAGTCATTTTTTATTAAATATAAAAAGGATATTGATACCACCTGCACAGTTACTCTGAGTCTGTCTCACCTGGTTTGGTCCTGTCAGTACACCAGCCGTCTATGGCAAGGTATTTGTTGCTTTATTCTGGACAATATTTACGACAAATTTGAACTTTATTTTAAGGATGTTTTATTTGGAATTACAGAATATAGAAAATAACTCTTCTTTTTATGTAATCTTTTGCTTCTGTTTGCCAAATATTATATCCATAAATGTAAAACTACTATGACTAAACCTCATGTATTTCTTTCTTAAAGGAAGCATCATTTATTTCTATGTATTATCCTCTTCCAATAACAAAAAGGCTGGTAAAACTTTATCTCTATGCTCTAAATTCAAGACATTTATGTAATCTCCTTATATGCTTCTAAGTCTTCACTTTACTATTTTTAGGTTTATTCAGTTATTTGTTTATTTTTACTATTTTTGTTCAGACCCCTGGCGATTGTTCTTTGAAAATTGTACTAATATCTTCTTGTAGTACAAAATTCTTTAATAAAGCTTAAAAAAAAAAAAGAGTGTTACTCAGTGAGCACGACAAAAATGTTGATATTTTTTTACTGCTCATCACTAAATTCATTCAATCACCGCAAACGTATTAGTTTTAGGTATAATGATCCATTGATTATTCCTTGCTGACCGGACTTTTCCTTTAAATCAGGGGTGTCAAACTCATTTTCTCTGAGGGCCACATCAGCGTAATTGCTGTCGTTAAAGGGCCAGATGTAACTTATAAATGTAACTAAATGTAATTGAATGCAATGTAAAATAAATGTAACTACTCCTTAATGTTAAATAACTCATTATTTATTATAACTTATTCAAGTGACAATTACAGTTGCATAGAAAACATATGCTTGCTTGTTGCTCTAACACACGTGTCACACAGCCGCTTCCTACCCAGTCCTCCTCATCGGTCACTCCCCCTCCAACTGAATCTCTATCATCAATATTTTGAAGCATTTCTAAAGCCTGTATCACTGTTAGGTTTCTTCTGAACGCCACTTTTTCCATATTAGCCAAAAAGTTCTAGGTAGAATGTTGGTTTCTAGGCAACGGTACCAAACGTCAATCAACCGCGGGAAGAATTTACAATGCAACTAATAGAGCCGTCAAAATGATGGTTGCGGGGGATTGAGGTAGAATTAATCATATTTATTTTTTACGTTTTAATTTTATTAAAAAAACTACGTGATAATGAAGGAAATATAGAAACAGGAAAAGTCAGTTAACATGAGCAACATAAATTTAATTTTAAATATAGTTCTTTCCCTTTAAAATCTCAGAACCATCAAAATGACGGCTGTGGGAGTTCTAGCGGGCCACATAAAATGACATGGCGGGCCACATCTGGCCCGCGGGCCTTGAGTTTGACACATGTGCTTTAAATGATTAAAAAAGAAACTCAAAATGGGTCTTTTCCTTGTCTCTGTAAACAGTCCTGAGATTACGTGTCATTTGGCGCTATAGAAATGAACCAAATTTTATTATTTTCTTTTCCATCATACTCCAACTGCAGTTACACTGGGCCTTCCACGCTTTGTTTCCCATGATCATTAAAAACACACATCGTCTTCTATCATATTTGAGCTTTATTTTTTCTTAAAAAGCAGCCGTCTCAGTTAATTCACTTTAAAAACAAAAACATACATGTAGTACCTCACAGATAATCTTATCTGTTACACAAAACTCCACATCAACAAGGAAAACGATTAGACAGCTGTATGAAGAGTAAAATACAGACAGTAAAGCTCTTTATCTTTGAAGCTTCTCAGTCTTTAAAGGAGGAAAGTTGAAGAGAATTTGCAACACATTGAGTGAAACGTGTCCAAACAATAAGAATAAAAGGTAATAAGGCTATCTCTGAACGACTGCCTGCGTTTGGACATCACAGTGTTCAGCTCAGTGGAGTGGGTTCATTTTATTCATACTCGAACAGCAAATCTACAGAAAAACACATCAGGATTATTTGAAGGTATCAGAAAAATAAATAATTCTTTATATCATACAAGCGACAGTAGTAGAACATCCATGACGACGTTTCCTCCTCTCAGGCCCTCAGTATGTGCAAACTGCAAGAGTTTTAAAAAGGTAGCACTTTATGCTTGGAACATGGAATATAAAAACAAGTGTTTTTACAATGAGCTTTTCAAAGTGTAGCGAGGGTGAGAGATGATTCAAACTTGGTGAAGGTGAATGAGGACAGCCATGTTTGAGTTGAGCCACTGAAATTAAACAGGATATTTTTGGTTCTGCATATCTTCTCTGATCAAACCTAAAAATGTTCTCATTGCATTTTTTTAAGAGGGTCAAATACTGAGTTTAGGCTTAACGCTGATCTGACCGTTAAACGCTTGTTTAACATGGGTAATCCAACCACAAACATGTTTTCCTTTCATTAACGCAGAGATATGTCAGCATGGGCGGGGATTCCTGCTTCAGCCTGAAGATTGCTTCTTTCGCTCAACAGCTAGCAGCAGGGAAACACCTTCACTCCGCTCAAAAAGCACTTGGAGGGATGATGAATTCTTCTTGACGGTTTCAGGCCGAATCGAGAAGAGCCCGAAAGCCACAAACAACACGACAAACACCCAAACAGACGGACACAAACACGGAGGAATGATTCACTTGAACTTTGTTCCGAAAAGGATAATGATTAGAACAAGGACTATGACAAAGAGGATCAAAATGACCAGCATCTTCCGGTTTTTCTTCTGGTACTGCTCCGCCTGAAAAGAGAAGGTAAAAAAAAAAAAACACATCAGTTCCACTATATAACGACTTAAACATCCTAAATTAGAATCTGTTGCCATTTTAAACCAATAAAAGTTTATTTTTAATTCAACAGAAAATATTTCCTCCAAGATGAAGGATGGATTCTCCTCTATAGTCCATTGTCTGCTAAAGAAATATACATATTTCCAAGTTAATGATGAGGAAAAAGTCTGTAAAAACATTTCTGGTTCTTTTACTGTTATTCTGTCATGAAAATTTAATCAAATATTCTTAAAAAAAAGCCCTGAACTTTATTAGCGTCTCTTAATACTGTTTTACACCTAGTAAGAGTCTCTGTAATGGTTTCAAATCAGCACTATGCTGCAGAAACCATCCATAAATAAATAAAAATGTCTTAAATTAAGTGTATTTACCCTTAATTTGAGCAGGTAAATAAGATGATCTGCCAATGGGATGAGGATTTTTAATCTTAAAATAAGATAATTAGAAATGCATTTTAAATACGACAATGTGGCTTATTTTTCTATTTTAAGTATACATTGTCTTGCTTCATTGTCAAAGTGTCGCACTTACCTCCCCAATTCAAGAAAAAATTCACTTATTTTAAGAAAAAATGACTTATTCATATTTCGATTTTTTGCAGTATAAACTGTTCAGCTTTATTTCTGGCAGCTAAAGCTTTGAACCATGAAGAAGACTCCAACAGAACAATGAATCTAAAACCAGAAAAGTTTGGTGGTTGGACAAACTCTGCCCCAAAGCAGAAAAATATAAATCTAGATAAGTAATTTTTTTCTTAAAATAAGTGCATTGTTCTTGGATTGAGGAGGTAAAAGAGACATTTTGCCAACGGAACCAGAGAATTTACATTTAAAATAAGAAAAACATAATTGCATTGTTGTATTTCAACTGCATATTATCTAATTATCTTATTTTAAGAGTAAAGATACTCCATTGGCAAACTATCTCATTTACCTGCTCAAATTAACGGTAAATACACTTAATTTAAGACATTTGTACTTATTTCTAGATCTTCTTTCCAGTGCAATGAAAGCTTTGTTGGATTCAAACCAGTAAAACATTTATAACATGCAGACAGCAGTTCACCAAAAAGACTGAAAGTTATTAAAAAACTTTGTTAAAAAAATAAGTTATACAATGAAAATAACCAATTTATTAATTCAGCCAACAGAAGTGGTCAAAGTTTGGAGATCCACAGATTCCTTCCTGATCTGGTTCCTTTAGGTCTCACCTGCTGAAGCCAGAGTGCATAAAGTTCCTGAATAGGAGCTAACACACACACACACACTGCAAAAAAACAGCTAGAAATAAGTTACAATTTCAGAAATTAAGTGTATTTACCCTTAAATTGAGTAGGTCAATAAGATGATCTGCCAATGGAATTAGATTTTTTACTCCTAAAATAAGATAATATGCATTTGAAATAGGATGATGCAATTGTTTTTTCTTATTTTAAATGTCAATTGTCTCGATCGATTGGCAAAACATCTCACTTACCTCCTCAAATAAAGAAGAAATGCATTTTTTAAAGAAAAAATGACTTATTTAGATCTTGATGTTTTGCAGTGCAAATCCCACATCCTCCGTCTTGATCCGCTCTAAGTCACTCTGAGCTCGAGGACAGCGTGCACAATAATATTACTTCATTCGTAGGAGCAAAACATGCAGTAATGAAGGCTTAATCTAATATGACATAATTAAAACTCATCATCAGCATCAATCACACATGCAGTTTCTGCCAAAGCATCTTCTTTTCATTGTGGATCTTTGTAATAGAGACAACTAGGATCTAGGGTTGTAAAAATCGATATAGACACTAAAATGTTGCATAATCTTTTTCAAAAGTATCAATACCACCATTAGCCGCAGCTAGCAATTCAAGGCTAATGTCACGTTAATGATCATAAACATAAATAAATAAATCAGGCACGTAGTATGCACATCCTGCCTTAAAGGAATAGTACACCCAAAACATGATTAGCCTTCATTTTCTACTCACCCCCATGCTGAACAACACTCTGGAGTACTTTTTTGATATCTCAAATGCATCTGGAGATCCGGGAGGATTCTTGCTGTCTGCTGACATTCAAATAATGGAGGTCTATGGCGCCCGAGGCAGAAAGGTCCATAAAAGTCCACAAAAAACGTGTCAATATTCCTCCATACTGCTCGTCCAATGTATTCCAAGTGTCCTGAGTGGGTAGCGTCCAGAATTTACTCGAAACGAAGTCATTTAGAATGTTTTTAGAGCATAAACAGTAATGTATAGGATTTCCTGAAAGCGCGCACATGCGCGTTCACGACGCTACGGAAGAACTCCTGCTCTTCCTCAACACTGAAGTCCTCAGACATTTTTCTTTCGTTCTTTCTTTCTTTGAACAGGTAAACAGCACATTTCTTCTTCTACGCTTGCATTATCGGCAGAGCAGACGCTGAATGCGCACTTTCATCTGGTTTGGTCTGCCGGCTTCCGTAGCATCGTGAACGCGCAGGCGCGCGCTTTCAGGAAATCCTATACACTACTGTTTATGCTCTAAAAACATTCTAAATGACTTCGTTTCGAGTAAATTCTGGACGCTACCCACCCAGGACACTTGGAATACATTGGACGAGCAGTATGGAGGAATATTGACACGTTTTTTGTGGACTTTTATGGACCTTTCTGCCTCGGGCGCCATAGACCTCCATTATTTGAATGTCAGCAGACAGCAAGAATCCTCCCAGATCTCCAGATGCATTTGAGATATCAAAAAAGTACTCCAGAGTGTTGTTCAGCATGGGGGTGAGTAGAAAATGAAGGCTAATCATGTTTTACATACACTGTACCAGAGACTGCACCTTACCTGCACTACCTCAGCCTGGAACAAACTATTGCTGCTGTTTTTATTGCTTTTTATTGTAATGTTTATATTTCATACTTATATTTATCTTACCACTCTTGCCTGTCATGTCCCGCACTTTATGTCAGTTTTTAAATGTCAGTCTTGTATATTTCTTGTATATTTGTATATTGCAGAGAGTAAACGTAATTTCATTTCCCTTGTATGTCTTGTACATACGTAGAAAATGACAATAAAAGCTGACTTGACTTGACTTTTGGGTGTACTATTCCTTTAATTGACACAGTGTCAGTATACATAAGCATAGAGTTAATACGTTTACATAAATGTCGGTGACTGAAATGTGTTATTTTTTCTCTTGAAGTCAGAGAATGAAGCAGAGAGAAGTAGACCTGCGTCTAAACACCATCAAACACAGCCGACTCTACCATCCAGCTATGAAAATAAAAGCAGATTCAGGCCAGTGCCACCACCAGTGGCAGACAAACAGTCATTCATCCAGAGGGCAGAACAGAAGGAAATGCACTTTCTGAACATTATGATTGAATGATTCTCTGCACTTTTCAGTTTCAGATTTTTTTTGGAACAGATGCGGCTGCTGAGAATACAGCATTTATCTTTGTTTGTTAACTGGTTTGGCTGGTCTCATTGTTATGTGTGTAAAGCATAAGCCGAGGAAGGGACACTTATGTTAATTTTGTTATTTTTTTAAATCATGCTAATATTCTGCACAGCATACAACCTCAAAATATTGTTCTCATTGTTTATTGTATTTATTTATTTTTTGTATTTTATCTATTAATTAAAAATTTTTCTGTTAAATTTTGGGGGTCCTTGTTTTTAGCCTCTCGGTATCGAAAATGGTATCGAGTATCAAATATTATCCTTTGTTTGTTCTCTACATCTAAAGCAGTTTATTTTTAAGTTCTGAGATTCCCTCTTGGATTTGATGAAACTTTTAAGCCTCTCGGTATAAAATAAATATTTTGATCGAGATGAGGAATCAGCTTCCTGGTATGTTAAAGTACCGATAGTTTGCATCCAATCAAACTGGCTTCTTTTTAGGGAATATATAAAATGTATGCTATAATTTGTAGTTACCGATCTGTCGTTACTATATTTTAATTTGACAAACCGGATATTCTTGACTTTCTTTTTCCTGTTCGGTGTGATTGCAATTGTGGATCTAGACCTGGCCAGCTTCCAAAGGACCGGAGCGGAACGGAAAATAGCGGTGGATGTGGAACAGCTTTAATGGAGTAGCATGACTGCACAAGAGCTCCGCAGGACGAACGTGAGCGGGATGGAGACGGAGGATGTGGAATCTTGGGTTAAGGACATCCAGAATCAGACATTGCATGTTGGTGGAAACGAGTCAAGTTAAGAATATTTAAATAAATCTGCCTGCATCTAAAATCTAAGCAAGCTGATAGAAACACTCTGCTGCTGCTTCAAAATAAATGAGTCAGTTCTGTCAATCAATAATATTCTGCACCACAACATTTATTCTAAAAGTATTTATCAATATGGAATCCCTGATGGAAATGAAAGGGCAGCATCATGAAACTGTAATAGTGGATGGATTCTTCAGAGATTTAAAAACAAGAAATAAATACATTTTATAAATTAAGAGTTTAAATTGTATGCAAAAAAAAAAAAAAAAGTCAATGACCATTACACAAGAAAAAAAACAAAAAGCAGATTTTAGGAAATTCATCAGATTGTGGAATCTGGGCCTTTGACTTCCATGAAGATTGTAATGGAAAATTCATCAACAATAAGTGCAAACCCTACATCCAGAGGTTTATTCAAGTTCATTTAAGTTATTTTATCAATAAAGAAAAAATAAAAATCCCAAACAGGGTTATGGTGGTGATGCAGGGGATAAAAGCACTGCGAGGGCCTAAAATCAAAATTATTTATTATGCGCTTGAAATAAGAGACTGCAGTTGTTTTTCATAATTTAAATGTATACTCCCTTATTCCATTGGCAAAGCATATCACTTAACTGCTTAATTCAAGAAAAAAATGCTTTTGTGTTAAGAAAAATAAACTTTCTTAGATTTAAAGTTTTTGCAGTGTATTTGCTTTACACTGGAAAAAAAAATGTCTTAAATTAAGTGTAAATTGTCTTGTTCCATTGGCAAAGTGGATCTTTTTCCTCCTCAATCGAAGAACAAATGCACAAATAAGAATTAAATGACTTAGCTAGATTTAGATTTTTTTCCAGTGTAACTAACATTATTTAGCAAATCGATTAATCTGTGGATTATTTTTAGATTAATAATCTAAAGGTTCCTTAAAGAAGACTTTCTCTAAAATGAAAGCAGGTGAAACTAAAATCTTTCCACTTGAGGAGTTCTGGATACAGCATATTGACACAAAGGAACTTTTTTATTTTATTCTATAGAAGAAATATTAATTATTAGACAATTTTGGTATAATAGCCATTGCTCTGTCAGATAAAAACATGTTTTAGAGTATCAATACTGCAGTTAACGATTAATCGATTACTAAATTAGTTGATTATTTCAATAATCAATCATGATTAATCCGATTAATTGATTCAGCCCAAGCTGATTTCATTATCTTTATCATATTTTGTCCAGTATCCTTTGTCACCAGACTTTGCTGCTGACTGGAAAGCCTTAACTTCTAGCTGCACAGATCTGTGAGCCGCATGTAACATGACTAAAAAACGATGTCTTCTGCTGTTTAGTAATTGTGTTTTATCAAACTGTTATTACATTTTAAATAGAATCTTCTATCCAGTTACCAAAATGTTGCCGATGTTGTCGGCCTCAGTCCTGAACGCTCTGCGGCGGGTCTCAGTACCGACCTGTTGACCTTTGACACTCTCTCTCCCTCAATCAGACAGAGTGTGTAAACTTATCAGCATTGCTGGGTGGCTAAAACAGGAAACCTTTTCATTGACCAAACAGTGTGATAAAAATCAAAGACCCACTCTGGAAAATGATCTAGAAATAAGTAAAAATGTCTTAAATTAAGTGCATTTACCCTTAATTTGAGTAGGTAAAGAGATAGTTTGCGAATGGAATGAGTATTTTTTCTCTTAATATAAGATAATTACATAATATGCACTTTAAATAAGACAATGCAATTCTGTTTACATATTTTAAATGTAAATTGTCTTGTTCCATTGGCAAAATGTCTCTTACCTCCTCAATCCAAGAACAAATGCACTTATTTTTGGAAAAAAATGACTTATCTAGATTTCGATTTTTTCTAGTGCAGAAAGTGTTTTGTTTACCTTTTGTAACTGTTTGAGTCCATCATCTGTTTTCACGCAGGCCTGCTCCACATTGAAGTCGATTCTGTCTAGAACCGTTCCCTAAAACAAACATTTTCATTAGAAGACGAACATTGACTTCAACATTATGAATATTCAGCTTTATACTTTTTTCCCCTTTGAATAAACACTTCTATTCATTTTCTTATTTCTTATTATTTTCTTAAAATTGGCAACCAACTAGTGACCACCTTAAAAATACAATTACTATATTTCTTTATACATGAGGAGGGATGTTATTCCTTTTTAATTTTTTTAATGACATTAATTTATTTTCAATACATGTTTAATTACATAATAGTAAACTAAATTATCTAATTAAGCATATATTTTAAGATGGATTGATATATTTATTGCTGGAATCCTGTATTACTTAAATAAATAAATGGAACATCTATTTATTTTGGCCCTCCATATACTTAGGAATCACATCACAGTGATTTCGGGAAAGTTTTGGGAAAAAAACTTCCGACCCCCATTTTGCAATCCCTGCTCTAAACCAGAAGTTCTTGTTTTAGCCTATTATAGAAAAACACCTCAATAACAAGCCAAGCAATAAAAGAAACCCAAAAGAAAACCCCTTTGATTCATTTCAAACATCCGTCCTCAGACGGACCATCGAAAAGCAATTTACTCTTCCCCTTCTGGTACCTGCTCCACCACCATTCCTGCCAGGTCTCGGAAAACCTCATTCAGATCCGAGATGGACTGCACTATTTGCCGGATCTCCCGTTCCCGTTCCTCCACTAAAACAGTGTTCTGCTCCACCAGCATCAACTGGTCGTCTGTGAAACCCTGAGAAAGACAAAAAAAATAAAAATAATTTAAGGAGACAGCAGGCAAATGGGAGGCGTGGTTCTAGATAGGGGCCAACGGGGCCAATGTGCCTGTAGAGCGAAACCTGGGCCCCCCTGAAGGCATCATACTAAATGTTAGTCACATAAACTGTAATCCTTTCCGTTCCTAAGTTAATAGAATAACCCTTTATAGGGCAAGTTACCATTTTTGATCACTTGCATACCACTTACAAATGGAGTGCTATTTATTTTACTCTGTTTTTCATGAATTTCATATAGAAACACTTTTATTTTTCTTAATATATACGGGCAAGTTGGCATTTCATATAATTACATTGACATTCATTTATGCCAGCAAAATATACATATTTTTTTAACTTTACAAAGGTAATAAGGTCTTGTCCTGGATTCCAATAACACACACTGGAAAAAAAATCGAAATCTAGATCAGTCATTTTTCCTAAAATAAGTACATTTGTTCTTTGAGTTAAAAAAATACATTTTGCCAAAGGAACAAGACAATTTACAATTAAAATAAAAAAACACAATTGGTTTGTTTGTCTTATTTAAAGTGCATATTATCTTATTTTAAGAGTAATAATACTCATTCCATTGGCGTACTATCTCATTTATCTACTCAAATTAAGGGTAAATGCACTCAATTTGACATTTTTTTTACTTATTTCTAGATCGTTTTTCCAGTGCACTACAAAAATTATCTTTAAATTTGTGAAAATGTCTTAAAATAAGTGTATTTACCCTTAATTTGAGTAGGTAAATAAGAAAATCTCCCAGCTGAAGGAGCATTTTTATCCTTAAAATCTGATTATTTGATATTATGCTCTTGAAATAGGAGACTGCATTTTTTCACTTATTTTAAATGTTAATTTTCTTATTCCATTTGCAAAGAATCTCACTTACCTGCTCAGTTCAAGGAAAAAAAATGCACTTATTTTCAGTGATGGGACTAACGGCGTTCAAAGTAACGGCGTTACTAACGCCGTTACCTTGTTTTAGTAACGAGTAATCTAACTAATTACTTTGACTGTAACTATAACGCAGTTACCATCGCAGACACCCCGTTACTGTGCGTTACTCAGGTCGCACAATGAACCTTTCTTTATGATAGGACTCGTGCGCATGCAGCTGCGTGAAGCTGAAATTCCACACACGTCAAAAAACTCTGCAAATAGACTGAATGGTTAGTGCAACGTTTGTGCAGATTTGTGCAGAAAAAAATATTGTTTGTGCTACTTTTGTTTAAGAGATATTAAAGATTATTTTTTTAGGTCATCCAGAGGTGCGCGCCTTGTCATGAGAAAGGGGAGGATGAGAATGGTTTATGTATAGTGAGATTCCGTCTGTCAGTTGGGTAGGTGGGTGTTTCTGCTGGTGGGTGTTAACGTACAGCACACACAGAGAGATGGGGAGTGAGGATGATCCAGCAGCAAATGTCGAGCTGCGTTTCCCCATCAGATACGGTTTCCCCTGCATCTCCGCACAGCGCAGGCGGCACGAGTCACCGCGCAAGCGACAGGAAACGCGCATGCTCGCTAAAGGCGCGCAACAGTCGCCCTGTGCTCGCGCCACAGGAGAACTATGGAGAGCGTGAACGATCAAATGATTAACCTGACAACAGCCAGAAATGATAGCCTATATGGAGAAAGGGAAAAATCTGGATGGATGGATGGATGGATGGATGGATGGATGGATGGATGGATGGATGGATGGATGGATGGATGGATGGATGGATGGATGGATACTCTGCCTTCTCAACCTACTGTATTTTTTATTTTAAACATTATTTGATGGTCTTTGTGGCAGGGATGGAGATCCATATTTTATGTCACACACAGAGTATAGATCTAGATAGATAGATAGATAGATAGATAGATAGATAGATAGATAGATAGATAGATAGATAGATAGATAGATAGATAGATAGATAGATGTTGCAGTATCTATAACAACCCAAACACACAGGATTTCAGAATTAGACATCCCCAGTTATTAATTTCACCAGATCTGAACGCCCTGTTAAAAAACGTCACATGGCGTTCCCCCCTGATGTCATTTACATTGAGTTGCAATAAATGCTAAACTCTCTGCAGGTTCTTGTCTTTGTCATCCACTCTATTCAGCTGGCTTTGGAAACACACGGCGAGAAGGTGGGGGCCGGGTGGTGAGGGTTACGCAAAAGTAACGCAATAGTTACTTTTACTAGTAACTAGTTACTTTTATTGTGGAGTAACTCAGTTAGTAACTCAGTTACTTTTTGGGAGAAGTAACTAGTAACTATAACTAATTACGTGCCCAACACTGCTTATTTTAAGAAAAACTGACTTACTTAGATTTTAGTTTTTTGCAGTTTTGAAGTCTTTCACTGAATGCCCTATAAAGGGTTAAGCCGGCGGTCTTCCACAGGGGGTCCGCGACCCCTAGGGGGTCAACAGAGGTACTGCATGGGGGTGGTGAACGTTTTGGTTGATTAGACTTTTTTTTATATTCCCCCTGCAATTTTTTCCACTAATTGAAATGTCTTTAAATAAACATTAACATGAATTCAACACACTGTAGTAAACAGATAAATGGAGGCAGAAGATGTCTTTCAGTCATCAATGCACACATTCAGCGACACACAGGAGCTCTTTCAAGCTGGGCACCGTTTCATTCACAACACCTGTCCAATCAACCAGGAATCCCAATCAGAAATACTTTAATAATCCCAGAGAGACATTACTTTCATTACATTACTCCATCTGTAATAGAGTGAATATAGGACCAGTTTGATCTACCACAATTTCATACAATATATATAATTAGGGGGTCCCTGATCTCACAATCAGTTTGGGGGTCCTTGGCCTGGAAAATGTTGAAGACCTTTTGATTAAACCATTTATTATTGACCTCATTTTGTTTTGTTCCTTTGCTCTGTCCCTCCCTAATTAAAAAAACCCCCAAAACAAACAGACCGGCCCCTCCTTGGGCCCCCTGGTATATATGGTTTGGAAGTACGGAGAAAAATTTATTCCAATATTATTAAAAGCAAAGAAACATGATTTATATATAGGTTATTTAAAAAAAAATTGTGTTTTAAAAATGGAACCTTAAAAAATACATATATGTTTGGTAGTAATTTGTAAAGTAGTTTTACAGTTTATTTATTTCAGATTTTCCAGATTTAATTTTTTCTGCTATTTTTTCACGTTTTTTCCTCCCAGTTGTTTTGGGGAGACTGTGTTTTCACACGGACCAATAGGAATGACTCTGCTCTGCTTAGATGTTAGCAACCACATTTCTACCACAAAACCAAGGGCGTTTCTCAATTGACGAATTGTCAAATCCGTTCTTGGCGAGAACGCAGGAAGATCGGACTTGACGAGAACGCGAGCACGCAAGCACGTATGTGTATTGGAGCAGAAGCGTACTCGTTACGTCGTCACAGGCAACGTTGTTTGGCATTTCTTTAACAGTCAAAACTATTTATTCCCTACACAAAACATTTTGAAAACAATATTTTTAATTTCTAAAGCTTAAAAAACATAAAAAAAAAAATTACCGAACCGCAAAAAACCGCCATCAGAACGAGCGGTAGTTCACACATAACTAGACCGAGAGAAGTGAACTACAGACGGGGTAAATTTAGCCCTCGGAGGTCTGCTGGTCACTCTGGTCCGCTCAATGTCTGACTTTTTTTTTTTTTATTTCGCACTAACTCTGTAAACAGACCACACAGGGAGGCTTAAATGTATAATGTTATCGCCTCAAACGATTTCAAAACGTACTTTTGAAGAACAACAGCAGCAGAAAAGGGAATGTTTAACTTAACACTGTGAGCTCTGTCTGGAATCAAGCTGCGGCCGCGGGGCATTCTGGGGAAGCGGTCAGTCTGAAGAACGCACAAGTCTGCTCTGATGCATGCTCGATAAAGAGGGCGGGGTGAGAACAACATCCGGGGATTTGATGCGTTCTCGATCTGGCGTTCTTGAGAATTGGAACGGTACTCGGGCTGAGGCTGATGACGTGCCACGAGTACACAAGCACACGAGAACGCTCAAGAACGCATATTGAGAAACGGCCCAAGTGTAGAAAATTGTAAAACAGAATTTAGAAAGACTGCAATTCACAAAAGTCAGAAGGCCCACAAAAAAAAAACAAACTTAAAAATAAAAAAAATAAAAAAATACAAAAACAAATATTGTTAAGAATTCTGCATACACATTTTTGATTGTTTTTATTTTTCCTCTTTTAATTGAGATGTTTTTCAAAGTTCCATTTCAAAATGTTTTCTTCAAATTGAAGGCTCTTTGCTCCATATCAAACTGCACCCAGCACAACTGGGTTCAATCAATATTAGATCATAATCAACCCATCGAATCAATAAAACAGTTGCTAACTATACTTAAAGCTGTTTATTTTTGAATGAGTTCATACATTGCAAAAAATTAAAATCTAAAGTCAGTTTTTCTTAAAATTCTGAATTTTTCTTGAATTGAGGAGGAAAGTGAGACACTTTGCCAGAATGAGACGGTTTGGATTTAAAATATAAACAAAACAATTGTAGTGCATATTATATAATTGTCTTATTTTAAGAGTAAAAATACTAATTTCATTGACAAGTCATCTTTTTTACCTAGTGATATTAAGACATTCCAAAGCAGAAAATTAAAAACAATCCACTGCACTGGAAAAACTATCGAGAAATAAGTAAAAATGTCTTATATTAAGCATATTTACACTAAATTTGAGCAGATAGATGAGATAGTTTGCCAATGGAATGAGAATTTTACTCTTAAAATAAGATAATTAGACAATATGCACTTGAAATAAGACAATGCAATTGTTTTAAGAAAAAATAACTTATTTAGATTATATATTCAATATTCAACATCCAATCGGCTGCCTCTCACCTTGTCGTACAGAGCTAATTCTTCATCCTCTTCCATTAAAGGCCCAGAGTCAAAAAAGTGCTTCGATCGCTCCTCCCGATTCTTCATACCTGGGCCATAAACATGAACACGACTTGAATAAAAGGGACCCTACTTCTTCAAATGGATTTAAAAGTAATTTTGAATGATAATATCTAGCATGAGCAGGATAAGAAACTCCTTTAAACAGTAGATCTTACGTTTTAAATAGCTGGACTGCGTGTGTCTGAAGTTGGTGGACAGGTCCTGCAGGCTCTGCGCTAGAGACGACACCACGTTCACCAACAGCCTCTCCTCCTGTTCGGTGCAGTGGCCCCGGCGAGACTGAAGGCCCGTCACGGCGCGCTGGCATCGGTGGAACATCTGGGATGAAAATGAGATGGTGAGCCCAAGAATCAATGCATAATCCAACCACAACTGTTTAAATTTACGTTTTAATCTGAGTTGGAAAGGGTTTTGAAAAAGTTTTGTTATTTTTTTCTTCCTTTGGGGTTTTCCTTTAGCTGAAAAAACTAAAAAGTTCAACAAAAAATTTTTTTTCTACTTACATTAGACCCAATAAACATGTCTGCTCCTGCAGAGCTGCACAATTACACCAAATACAGACAGAGCAATAAAATCTGTGAAACCAGAACAATCTGATTTCTGCATTAGACCTTCAGATCAAATTCAGCCTCAGTTTGATGGTCACATCGCTCCGTTTAACAAAGCATTTAGGCAAAGAGTCAAAATTGGCAACATTAAGAACATTAATTACTATTTTTTAATTTAAACAAAGTTCTGGAGTAAAAATCTTAAATAAAAACCGCATAAAACACTGCAAAAAATATTTTCTTTCTTAAAATAAGTGGACAAGTGAGAAACAGATCGTGCTTCCGGGGACGGATCGGGTAGTGACACTGATCACGTCTTTATATAGGGATAACGGAAATCGCTTGGACCATTTGTGTTTGGGGTCAATACACAGTTATACCCCTTTCCCACTGGCTGGAAAACCCGTTTAAACCGGGGAACAATTGGCTTTTAGTGGCAGTGGAAACAGCTAACCGGGTCAAAAGACTTAAAAAAGCGACCCACAATAAGATCACCTTAGCTCTGATCGGCATGCAGTGGGAACACCAGACACAGGTAGACCCACTAAATTACGTGACCATTGAACACAACGTACGGACGTCAATACAACGCTACAGCTGCTTTTGATCTAACAAGCCGAAATGACTTTGTTTACATTCGATAAACATGGAGCAGCTCTGGTAAAAGGGATTCAGACAGATGAAAGAGCAAAATAATAAAGAAAACTGCACGCTCCGTCTCCCTTCCATGTCCCTCTCCATTTTTTACTTCCCTGATTTCCATCGCACTGTTGACATCATCAACGCTCACCCAGCGTGATGGCGTCATCAGACGCGAAGTGGTGGGGGCACAGACATCTTCACGAGTTGTTTTCAGCAATGGCGGTCATACAAACAAAACAAGCCGGTAAGGTACCAAACAGGAAATACGTATAGCGTAGAGCGGATGTAGATTTGACCAATCAGAGGCCTCATGTCTGTGGCACTGTCTGCGGTCACCTACAATTTTGGAGGGGGGCGGGAACATCTCTGCATTCAGCGCGACACCTACACAGACGACCTAGTTTATAAATCAGCCTAAAGCACCCTGAGGTGCAGCACAGGTGATCGCAGAAGAGGGATCATGGAGGAAGATAATGAGCATAAAAGCGAGGAGGCAGTGCTTCACTATGCCGTTAGCTCTTCCTTTGCTGTAGGGCCGCATGGCTGAGATCAGGAAAAATGCTCCGATCCCATTTGTATTTTCTGAGTGATTTAAATATACGGAGATGACACGTGCTGTGAAGTGGCGCCATATAAAGCCGGGAGAGTGAACCTGTGTGATCTCCTGAGTCGTGATCTCGATGGCGTGTTCCTCCTCTGTGCTGTCGTCCAGGGTGGGACGGTTCATGTGCTTGTCGTGAAGTAACGCCAGGTCCTTCATCTTCTGCCGAATCCTTGTGATTTCATACTGGATCTGAAAGTTGAGGAAAACTATTATTAACGTTTTATTTTGAAAGACTTCAAACCGAACGCCTGCATTTCCAGTTATCCAGCAGCTTCACCTCATCAACTCCTTCTATCCATTTGGGAGGCAGCTTCTTTGTGACGCCGATAGCAGCTTCTGGATCCAGACTGATACCCGAGACCAGAGCCATTCGGTCGTCGGCCAACTTAGGAAAAACACAGTTATATGAAGATGTTTCTTATGACAACAGAGCAGTAAGATGGTTCTCTAAACAACTGTACCTCATCAAGCTCCTAATGTGATTGTTAGGTAGAAGAGCAGAGCGTTTCCATCCAGTAAAGAGAAGCAAAAGGAGAGAGAGGGGGAGATTAAATGATTTGAAACCCAGGAGGAAAACAGCAAATACTAAGTTCAGGAACAGAAGAGCATGATCAGTTTTAGCAGCTTCTATTAGGTCCCAACATGTTATAAGAAACCCAGAACACCTGTAAGATAATAGAGGTAAAACCCAGAAAACATAAACAAGACGCACCATTAGGCCTGTCTCAATTAACAATCACACGATTCAAATGTGAACCATAGACAGAAATCAGGTTGATTATTTGCGTTTACAGGCTTTTTATGGGGCTGAAAAATAATCCAAAAAGGAAACTTTGAAAAACTTCAAAATAAAAGAATAAAAGTAGTACTTTAAAGTTACTCTGAAGTTTTAAGTTCAAAAAATTAGAGTAACTGCTGTTTTCTTTAAGATTTTATTACAAAATTATTTTTTCAAATGTACTTTTTCGAAAATTTTATTTGACGGAACCTATATTGAATTTTTTTAGACTAAGTTTCACAAGGCTTCCAGCCGTACATGTTTGAGCCCTTGCCTCGCAACGCTGCCAGTTCTGTTAGCTCTACGCCTGCTGAAGACACAGACGTCCATCCCCGTGAACACTGGGACGGAACTCAATGGGAAAGGAAATTATTCTTATTTCAACCGTTGCGTATATTAGCTGAGACATATGAATCAAGATGCTATGACTGAAAAAATTGGACAGATGACCATTGATATATGATTGGCCGAATTTAGGTGTTCAAGCTGATGTAAAACTAACTAGCCTGCATAAGATAACAGAAAAAAACAGATTTTAAGACAGGATTTTTTTTTTTTTTTTAATAGAAATTTTCAACATTTTGGGACAATATCGTCTGATAAAAAGTACATTTACATACATGTTTAAGCCAGAATGATTTGACATTTAAATATGATTTCCCTACGACTTTAACCAAACTGAAATAGACTGAATAGATCGGCCATTTTCACTAGGGGAGACCAGTTGCATACAAAAACTAAACTTGTTTATTTTATAGGACAAAACCGGCCAAGTTATAAAATATCAGCTCAATCTTTTCACTAAGTAAGGTTTCTAGACTGGACTCATTTTGGTTTTATCATATCAGACAATCAACTATAAATGGAGTTTTCATGTCAGGCAGGAGAAGAATGTGAACCATTCCTTGTTTAGTCTCCCTGTTAATCTGATACCGAGCTCTGCCCGTTTCCTTTATATCTCTATTGGTTTGGAAAATCTTTCATTATCCTTCCAGTTGTTTGGGCTCATGTTGAACCTTTGCACGTAGATTCTGTCCAACGCCATGTGGTGCTTTGTCTCTCACAATGCTTTGGAAAAATATTCACATCCCTTTGGAAGGAGTGGTTTCACATTACAACCACAAACTGCAATGCATTGTATCCGGATTTTATGCTATGGACCAAAACATGAGATACGTCGGATATATAAGGGAAGGATGCATGTTTTATCCACAAAACAAGCGTGAAATATAATATAAGCATTTATGCATAAATTTCACTGAGGCCTAAGAGGCATAAAAGGGGCTAAGTAAAGCAGCAGACCAGTTCAAGAACAGCTCAGTTAAAATAAAAATAATAAAATATGCAAAAGTTTGAAGGTCTAAAACGATTTCATTCATCTCCAAATAGTGCAAACTTACCGAGACAAAAACTGACTAGGGTCGCAACTAACGGTTATTTTAAAAATCGATTCATTGAAAGAATATTCTACAGATGAATCGATTTGTAAAATTTTATAATCTGATATAAATTCATAATCCGATAGAAAAAGTTTCCTTAAAGAAGACTGTTTAAGAAATGAAAGCAGGTGAAACTGAACATTTTCCACTTGAGGAGTTTTGGATAGAGAAGACTGACAGACCAAAAAGCTTTTTAATTTTAAATGCAAAATATTTATGTACATTTTTTAACAATTTTGATATAATTACTGCTCTAAGTGAGTCGCTCTGTCAGCTAAAGGCATGTTTAAGATTATCGACTCTCCGGTTAACAATTAATCGCTTACTAAATTAGTATTAGTAATCAATAATTGATTTATCACGATTATTCCAATTGTTTCAGCCCTAAAACTGACCAAACTTACGCTCAGATTTAGTCAACCGGCTCATGGTAACTTTGGAGGAGATGCACGCAGTGGAGCTCAGGATATGTTTAACACATTTGAAAGAACATTGAACATACATACGGAAATTTTGGAAGAACTTAATAAGATATGACCTTAATACTTTCCCTCTGATTAAGAGAACAAAAAAAAAAAGAAAATCAATGTATGTGATAAAAAACTAACTCTTGGCATCACCCTGAAAACACCATCCCCATGGTGACAGACTGGTAATGAGGTAGATGACCCTGAGCAGGGATGATGAAGTGAATCAGATTTGAGAAAAACACAAAATTAGTTAGCATCCTGGGAGAAAACCTGTTAGCTGCTACAGAAAATATTACACTGAGACTGAAGTAAAATCATGTGATGGATTTCTCCACCAAAATCATCTACATGTTTAGACATCATAGAGAAATGTATCGAGGTTCGATATAACCTTACAAAACATTGAACAGCTTTGAAGAGGGTGTGAAAACTTATTTATAAGCCCAAATTTCAAAAACAAATGTTGGGTCAACATCACGTTTAGACACAACAGAACTTATAGCCAACATAACAGTCATAGAGGGTCTACTTTAATTACATGATCATGAAACATGCATTTCATTTAATGAAAATATAGTGGTAAAAATAGACTTTAGAGAATTCTGTTTTAATTTATATATATTTTTAATAATCTATAGCTGCCTTAGGTTTCAGCGGGCATAAAACAGCCCTGCATGGTCCCCCTTTACCTCCATCATGCCTGGCATGAAACAGGACCGTATAGCATAGCATAGCATAGCATAGCATAGCATAGCATAGCATAGTATAGTGTAAAGTGTAGAATAGTATAGAATAAATAGTGTAGAAAAGAATAAAATAATGTAGTATAGAATAGTATAAAATAGTATAGTATAAAATAGAAGAGAATAGAATAGTGTATAATAAAATAGAATAGGATAAAATAGAATAGTATAGAATAGGAAAGTGTAGAATAGTATAGAATAAAATAGTATAGAATAGTGTAGTATAGTATAGTATAGAATAGTATAGAATAGTGTATAATAGAATAGAATAGTATAGAATAAAATAGTGCAGAACAGAATAGTATTTTATAGAATATTACAGTATAGAAGATAATAGAATAGTGTAGTATAGAATAGTGTACTATAGTGTAGAATAGAATAGCATAGTATAGAACAGTGTAGAACAGCATAGTACAGAAAAGTGAGGAATAGAATAGAACAGAAAATGTCTTTATAGTTTATTCTATATCAAAAGATTATAGAGAAAATTTTCAAACAAATGTGGAGTTTAGAAACATGTATAAGAATAACATAATAGCAAAGAATTATAAGATAATCAATAGAATACTGTACTGCAAAGTGTTTTAACAATATAAAACTCTGCACCTGGAGAATAAATAACCAATATCCAGCTATGGACATTTTTACAGTAATGGATATTTGAAAATAGCAGCAACATCAGAGATGTGCAAAATGACAGAAGCATGTTATTTAACTAAGAGAGAAACTGCAAAAATCACTATGAATGTAACAAAAACTTACACCCAGGTGGATCTAGCTATGAGGAGTCTATATCCATGCAAACACCCAGGTGGATCTAGCTAAGAGGAGTCTACATCCATGCAAACACCCAGGTGGATCTAGCTAAGAGGAGTCTACATCCATGCACCCAGGTGGATCTAGCTAAGAGGAGTCTACATCCATGCAAACACCCAGGTGGATCTAGCTAAGAGGAGTCTACATCCATGCAAACACCCTGGTGGATCTAGCTAAGAGGAGTCTACATCCATGCAAACACCCAGGTGGATCTAGCTATGACGAGTCTATATCCAAACACCCAGGTGGATCTAGCTAAGAGGAGTCTATATCCATGCCAACACACACAGTAAAATGATGCAGAGCACTCACCGCAGCATTGCTACGTGTACTCAGACGGGGGTCGTTTGTACTCACTTGCTCAGCCAAAATCTGCCGGTTTTGGATGGCATTGTTCCGCATTAACAAGAAGGCATCGGTCAGACGCCGAGTGGCCATTGTTAGTTTTACTGAGCTCTGAGTTAACAGAGGACCAAATGACTGCGGATCAGCAGCTGATTTAGGAGGAAATTATCTCCACTGACGCGCTGCTACCTTTAGCTTTGCCTGCGATGAATGAGGCTAAACACGCAATTACAGCACAATTTGTGCGGGTTTCAAAATCCATCCGATCATTTCTGTCAACATTTGTTAACATTTAACCTAAATATCGAGATAAAAATGCGGAAGGTTCAAAGAAACTTGGGATTTGTGGTCAAATTAGAGACGACTGCCCCTCTTTCAGGGAGCTAAGGAAGTGGGAGGACGTCAACACGTAAACACCTGCGTATGATGCTTCTTCTTCGAGCCATAGAACCATTGGCATTGTATTGATTTATCGCCCCCTACTGTTCAAACCAGCATATTTCAATAATTCATATTTTAGTTATTACTACTGGTAAATGCTCGGCAAGATGTTACAACTACTCTCTCCTTTGGCGCTATTAACTACCCCTAAAAGTATATTTTAGTTATTAAGTAAATATAAATATATATATTTTTTATACAAGATATATAAGCAACTGTAATTGGGTAAAAGTTACTAGTTTCTACCCACTTCTGTGTTTCTTGCACAAAATCCCCAAAAGCAGAATTTTGAAGCCTGAATGTGGCAACATCTGCAAAAGCTCCAAACTGGACTGTTTTAAGGCCCCCAGGGATAGTCTGTGTACATGGGTGGTCATAGACAGGGGCCAACAGGGGCCAGTCTCCCTATAGAACTGGTTCTGACCCCTGTTGTGGCGCTTGAGGACATAATAACAATTTAAAAAAAATTCTAATGACAATATCAGTGACTGATAGGTCATTTGGAGCCATTTAATTTTTTTATTTAGAATTAATGATTTTAAAATCTAAATTTTGTGCATGTCCATATATTATTTTATTTAGAAGAACTTGTGGGTTTTATTTAATGACTTTGCTTTTATGTGTGAAGTGGTGCAATTCTTTTGGAACCCTGCAACTCTTGTCTTGCTTTGTTTGAGATGCGTGGTCATTTTTGTTGCCATGTCCCTGAGAGGAAAAGCCTTTCTTAATGTTGTTTTCTTTTATCTCTCAACATCTGTTTCTCATCAGTGTTGTGTTATGCACTGCAAATGTATAAAGGATGTGATAACTTTCATAATCAAACTATCCATAACAGGAGATATTATGTCATAGAGATATGATTTTAAAAAAAATTCTACAAAATGTTATTTAAACCAAAAAAAAATAAAAATCTAATCTTTTATAGCTGAATTGACCAGTCTTACTAGAGTTTAAATTCATATTTGATTAAAAGTGGTGATCTTTATTTAAAATAGAACAAAAATATGTTATTTTCAGGAATTATTAATCTTTTGGTTGATATCTATTTATCACCTATTTTCTCTCCTTTTATGGCAATAGACGTCTTTTAGTTAAATGAAATACCTTTTTCACACCAAAAACCAACCAATCACTTCATTCAGTGCAGACTCACAGATGGTTCCCTTTGTTTCTGTGGCTCTCAGTATATTTTCAATGATAAGCTACTGTCCTAATGATTTTCTGTGCCCCAATGAAAACACACCGGTGTTATCCCTGGAATTACCTCCCCTCTAGCACACTGATGAGAAAACAGATTGAAATATGAATGAAAAGGGAACTTTTAAATCTATACCCTAATGTTTTTGTATTTCTTATGTACGGAAGAGAAATAGGGCCACTGAAAAAAAAAAAAAAAGTGAACTAATTTTTAAATATTATTTCAGTTTAATATGGGAGAAAGTCATAATTCTAACTTTAATCTTAGAATTCTGACTTTTTTTTCTTCAGAATTCTGACTTAATCTCAGAATTTTGGATCTTAATGTAGATGGGCACTATGAAGGAAGAGATGTGGTAGAACTCAGCTTCATTGACAAAGATGTGAATTATTTGGAAGGCCAGTAAGACATTAGTAGAAACTGAAGGAATTAGGTGACTTTTCTTGATATCATTTCATTAGTGAAAGAGCGGAGGGTGATTAAAAATAGAGAACTAGTCTCTAAAACAGACATGGCTACGGCTTGATGCTAAGATGTTTGTTAGCTGTCAGAATTCTGAGATTAAAATCATTATTCTGAGAAAAAAGTCAGAATTTCCCCCATATTAAACTGAAATAATATTTAAAAATCAGTTAACTTTTTTTTTTTTAGTGGCACTCATGCATAGATGCCCTAAAATTTAGAGTTTTGGTCAACAGATAAATATGAATGAATACGATTTTTACTTTATATAGAGAAATGTGTTTAATGGATGTGCTAGTCAGTGTCTGATGAATATATTCTATGCTCACTGAATAGCATTTTCCTGCTTTTGCTATCAACACCTTTCTATATGATTTCTGACAAAACATTGAGAATACGTTTAAAAGTTCCCTTTTCGTTCATACAGGGGAGGAAATTCTGGACAGACAGGCATTTCTTGACATCTATCAATCCATCAAAACTCTCAATTTTAGTGCATCCATTTATAAAAAATATGAAAAGTTAATATTTAAAAGTTCATTTTGCGTTTATATTTCAATCCGTTTTCTCATCATTGTGCTAGAGTTGAGGGCGATGCACGCTCCCGCGAAAGAGGAGGAAAATTGGGCAGGCAGGAATTTCTTGGCATCCACCCACCAAAACTCTCAATCTTAGGGTATCCATTTATAAAAAATATGACATTAAGAATATATTTAAAAGTTCCCTTTTCGTTCATATTTCAATCTGTTTTTTCATCAATGTCGTCAGGTGAGGTAATTCTCGGCAGGCAGGTATTTATTGGCATAACACCGGGCCCCCCTGGCCGCGCAATTAATTTGTCCTGGAACCGCCCCTGCCTGTGTATGAATGAACTTCTGCAGATTTTTATTAGTTTCGGCTAAAAGTCTTCAAATTCTTCAACAAACCAGTGCAGATGGAGGCACCACGTGATTCTAGATTCTCCATTTAAATTCAGCTTAGTTTTGTTTAGCCTTAGTTTTGTATGGAGCACCATTTGTAAAGGTAAGTAGCCAAACATTAGGAGCAATATTTAAAGGAGAAGTTCGGTTTTTTACACTTTAAGCCCATTTTCTGTAGTGTGCAGGATGAAATCGAATGAAGGACACCACAATTTTGACAATTGGTCCTGTCTCTGCTTTTTGGCTCATTTAGAATCAACCCCTGGCTGCTTTAGAATGGCTAGCATAGAGCATGTCCGATAATGTCCTTAAAACAACCTTAAACGTTCTTTTTTTAAAATATGCTACTCACCGTGTCGTCAGCGCTGTTCAATGACGTTCCAAAAAAAGTTTCGTGAAGAAAAAACGTTCCTGTAGTGTTTTATTTAGCATTTTGTAAATCCCATTGAGTTCTGTAGGAATAGTCAATATTCCGCTGCCACCGGAAACGGAAATGGGGCCTGTTTACACAGTTGTAGTCTTTTCGCTTCACTCTGTGTACTCCGACGTCGAGGTGCTAACGTCTCTGTTAAACACTTTAAAAAACTCTGAAAATGGAATACGAAAGGTGGATTCTTGATTCTCGACGTCGGAGTACACAGAGTGAAGCGAAAAGACTACAACTGTGTAAACAGGCCCCATTTCCGTTTCCGGTGGCAGCGGAATATTGACTATTCCTACAGAACTCAATGGGATTTACAAAATGCTAAATAAAACACTACAGGAACGTTTTTTCTTCACGAAACTTTTTTTGGAACGTCATTGAACAGCGCTGACGACACGGTGAGTAGCATATTTTAAAAAAAGAACGTTTAAGGTTGTTTTAAGGACATTATCGGACATGCTCTATGCTAGCCATTCTAAAGCAGCCAGGGGTTGATTCTAAATGAGCCAAAAAGCAGAGACAGGACCAATTGTCAAAATGTTGGTGTCCTTCATTCGATTTCATCCTGGACACTACAGAAAATGGGCTTAAAGTGTAAAAAACCGAACTTCTCCTTTAAGGTTATTGAGCTTGTTTTAAGAGAAATATACGTAAGGGGTTCATTTTTTCCAAGTAATTTTTTCACTATGTCATTCATTTATAAAAACTTTACTTTGCAAACTAACTAACTAACAAACTAAATATTTAATTTGTTGCTTAATATTTATTTAACAAACTAAATATTTACTTTGGAGAAAAATATTTATTTAACGAACTAGATATCTAAATTTGCAACCTTAATATTTAGGTTGAAGCTAAATATTTATTTAACAAACTTAATATTTATTGTGCAAACTAAATATTTTGTTTAGAGCTCAATATTTATTTAATAAACCTAATATTTAATTTGCAAACTAAATATTTAGTTTGGAGATAAATATTTATTCAAGAAACTAAATATTTTATTTGAAAACTAAATATTTAGGTTGTAGCTCAATATTTATTTAATAAACCTAATATTTAATTTGCAAACTAAATATTTAGTTTGGAGATAAATATTTATTCAAGAAACTAAATATTTTATTTGAAAACTAAATATTTAGGTTGTAGCTCAATATTTATTTAACAAACTTAATATTTAACTTGCAAACTAAATATTTATTTAAACAACTAAATATTAAATTTCCAGACTAAATATTTATTCAACAAACTAAATGTTTAATTTGCAAACTAAATATTTAGCTCAAAACTAAAGATTTATTTGACAAAGTAAAATTTTTATAAATTAATGATATAGTCAAAAAAATGACTTGGAAAAAAAAAATAACCCCTTATTTTTTTTCCCTAAAACGCACTTATTAACCATAAATATTGCTCCTAATGTTTTTTTTCAACGTCACTACCGGCGCTCCATACCCATGTGGAGCATTTGTTGGCGCGCGCCTTTGCTCTTGTAGCGCCGCTCAATGCAATGATGTGGCTGAAAGCTCCTCCTCCGCTCCTTCCTAATCCCTCGGGTCCTGCCCCACTAATACTGCGGCTGAAGTTCATCCACAGGGATCAGGCAGCCGCGCTCAGCTAACCCTCCACACCGACATTTGTATCAGAAAAGTGTTTTTGAGGCGCCCGTTTAGCTCAAACTCAGACAGGTTTTCATTAAAGCTCAGGCTTCTTCCAGGAGGATCACCTGTTGTGACTCTGCAGCGCCCCCCAGGTGAGTGTGGAGGCCCCTGTCACTGCCAAGCGCTCTGCTTTTACTCTATAATCCTCTCTGATGGATGCGCCCCCTTTCAGAGGATGGCTTTAATTGTTGATTTATCTTCTGCTTGAGTTGATGATTAATTTAATGGGGCATTACATTTTTCAAGCAGCTTGTCGACCTGCTGGTGCTGAGGGTCATTTTATATCAGCTGCTCCTGATTGTGCAACAATCCAGCAGTCTAGGATTGGAGCAACTTTGTTTTTTTTTTGTTTTTTTACATGAAAAAATAATATTTAGGCTATTCAGTCCAGTTTGATTTTTTTTTTTTTTTTTTTTAAGCAGATCATTTTCCCTGGAAAAAAAAAAGGAGGGGCTGTCTCACCTGTGGTAGGCCTGGGGTTTGGAATGAAGACTAACCGGTTTATGGGAACTAACTAAATCTGTGCTTTTGTTTCTGTCACACATGATCTTTGCTGTCCTGTTTGTCTGGCAGTGGTCATCATGGCTTCAGCTGAGGACACTGAAGGCGCTCTGACTCCTGTGGACTTTATCCAGCTGCAGCATTACATGGAAGGTGGGCTCTCGTTGAGAATATATATTTACTATTTTATAATAATTATCAAAAGCATTTACTAGCCTTAAATAAAAAAAAAAAAACTAGACTTATTTTCTTATTTAACATAATTATGGGATTATATAGATTTCCCTAAAGGGGAAGTCACTCCATAAATGAAAAGTCTGCATGTTTGTTATATGATGTCAATGTAAATACAGCTGTTTTATGACAGCCTCATAGGGATCGCCATGGAAACTATCCTTGAAAGCATTGTGCCGGGTTAAGGGAAGGGCAGTAAAGGAGATATATGTAGAGAAAAACTTTTAGGGGCTGTAGAAATGAAGCAAAGGGGCATAAATGATTAAAAAGATAAAGCAAATATTTACCTTCTAAATGGAGAACAAACACACAGCAAGAGTTTCAAATTAACAGTTTAGATCAAAGTATAGTCATGTGTTAAAATGGCCTAGTCAAAGTCCAGTCCTTCAGCTAATGTAGGAATCAGTCTCTGCGGACGCTTTGATAGAGTTTTGGCTATTTAGTTTAATTAGATTGGTAAAATATGTCAGCCTGTAAATGTTTTTCTATAAATTGTTTCAAACCATCACCCCTCCTTTAAGGATTATATTTGCCATGTGAGAAAAAATTGAATCAGCTCCAGGAGGATTTGAATATTTCTGTGAGGACTGTTGGTTAATTTCAGAACCGTATAGACAGCCTTTAGCCATATTTTTTTTTCTTCTTATCTGTCATGGTATCAGACGGTTTAAAAAGGGAAACAAACCGGACCAGCCTACCATTCACATTCACTCTGTGTGACTGGGTGTGTCTAAACGGTCCAGTAGTGCTCCACTTACCAGTCTGATTTTTGGAAATAATTAAAACAGTTTCTACAAGATGGTAAATGCTCATTTAGATAAGCGAGGTGAGTAAAAACAGCTGTCAAAGTCCACTCAAACCCAGCCCACACACCCAAATCAGATAGGTGTCCAACCTTTAGATGCTGTTAAAAGCCACTGAGGCCTCGGGCGCCGTCTGACTGAGTGTGGCGTGAACACGTCAGCTCTAATTCAACTCCTCTAGTGAATCCATTAAAATGTAAGTGTTGGAGCTATTTATTCTTTATTTCTTTATCCATTTGAATTGTGTTAATTCCTAAACTTATATATTTTTTGTATTATTTACAGACTTAATTTATAGGTTAATTGTTGCATTTTTGTGCATCTATTTTTTGTTGTTTTATTATTTTTCTTTATTTTATGTAAAACAGGAAGAAATGTGGGCGGTCCACTTTCTATAATTGTAGGAGCCTGGTAAGGACCAGCAGGCATTTGGGTTAGGGGCCTATGGGTTTTTACCAGTGCAAGAGAGGTAACAGGGCAAGGAAAGTTTGAACTCTGTAATGTGACAAAATATAGGAAATAAATCAACTAAACATCTACAAGTTTGGACTTCCACTTCTTTTGCCTGCGTCAAGAAAACGTGACCCCAGTGCCTATAGTGGCTTATTGGAACTTAATTGGATGTTTGGTTTGACAAACAATTGCCACTACAATCAAGTAAAAACCCACCTGTGGATCAAGTAAAAACACCCTGTGGAACAAGTAAGGAACCAGCCCATGGACTAAAAGGAATACCTCATCAATCAACATGCTGGATTTATGGATCTCAAGGATTCCCTTCAAACAAAAGGTTTTGGATCATCTTTGATTAAATCAAGCGACTTGATGCGTCAGACTTGGATGGACACGTCACTCATTCATCAAGCTGGTATGTGACAATATTGTTCAAGCTATAAAGGAAAATAGTGAAACTACTGGAGTTTAAAGACATTATTTCACTCCAAAGACTGATGAGATGAGTCTGATGTGACAAATTGATGCGTAATTTGGATCAAGCCGTGAGCCGACGCCCAACATGGAAATGTTTGTTCACAAGAATCAATCTCTTTAAACAAAGAGATACGTTTGTGCTTTTCCTTGTGGATTATTCGTGGACTATGACGCTTTAAATGTTTGAAATGATTCAAAGAATCTGCAAAAATGTCTGATGTAAAGAGCAAAGAGGATGACACCCAGACGTCACAAAACAAAAGAACCATCAAATTTACACAAGGGTTTGGAGTTTTATATAAAAACATGTCAAGAAAAACGAAGTTTAAAGTGTAAACAAGCTTCAAAATGTATGGAGAAAATCTCTGCATTAATGAGCTCACAAGAAAATGTTAAGAAAGTGGCTTCTGACTTTGCAAAGTTTATTAAATGCTATCAAGAAGCAACTGATTTACACGAATCACTTTTAGGTTTGCCGTTGCCAGATGAAGAAGTAAAAAGACAAACTGTGTATTTTCAGTCTAAGGTGACGACTTTCTCTGATTTTGTGGACAATATAAAGGTTTGGTTGACAGAAGCAGGAGATCCATATATGGAACAGAAAAACTATGTTGATGATCAGGTTGTTGAAGATCCTGATGAAATAAATCCTGAAGACAGTGTTTCTAATATTACAAGCATAAAGCCACGTTCAAAAACATCTTCACAGCAGTCTCGGGCTTCATCCACCTCTTCTGCACGCATTAAAGCTGCGGCTGAAAAGGCAGCGCTGATGGAGAGACTCGCCGCGTTGGACAGAAAACATCTGATCGAAGCTCAAGAGGAAAACCTGAGAAAAGAAAAGGAAAAGTTAGACCTGGAAACAGAGTTGGCAGCAACTAACGCAAAACTTAATGTATTAAAAATAAATTCAGTTGCTAGTTCTAAACAATCTGATGGGATGAACTCTTATTTTGAAAGAGCCCAAGGAAAGCACACGCCCCTGCTAAATCCTCTCGCTGATGAGTTTGTTCTGAAAGAAAAAGAAAAGTCTTCATCCAACTTCCCTGTTGTCAGACTTAAACAAGGAGAGAGACAACTTCAAATGGATCAGATGAGAGTTAAAGTTGATTCTTCAACTCAAGCAACAGAGCAGACGCAATTTCAATCTCCTCCTTTGACTGAGAACTGTCAGAATGATATTGTGAACATCATGCAAAGACAAAATGACATTGCAGCCTTACTAGTAAAACAAAACTTATCGTCTGTTCTCCCATCCAGAAACATCCCTGTGTTTGATGGGGACCCCCTACAGTACAGATCATTTATGAATGCCTTTGAGAACGGAGTGGAGGCTAAAACTGACAACTGCAGAGACTGTTTGCACTTCCTAGAGCAGTTCACCAGGGGGCAGCCTAAAGATCTCGTGCATAGTTGTCAACACTTAGCTTCTGAGGAAGGTTATTCCAAAGCCAAATATCTTCTTGAAGAACATTTTGGAAATGAAAATAAAATAACTTCTGCGTATATGGAGAAGATTATGAGTTGGACACCAATAAAAGGGGATGATGTGAAAAGTCTACAATCATTCTCTCTTTTTCTTCAAGGTTGTTCAAATCTGACACAACAAATTGTTTACATGAAGGAGTTGGATTTACCTTCAAATATGAGAACAATTGTCCTGAAACTTCCATATAAACTGAGGGAAAAATGGAGAGTTACTGCTTATGAGCTACAGGAGCAAACTGGTCACCGAGCGTTGTTTACTGATCTGGTTGCTTTCATAACAAAGGAAGTAAAAGTAGCATCAGATCCAGTGTTTGGCAATATCCAAGACCCACCAACAGGGAACAACTCCAAAGTTCCAAGTTACAGCAAGCAAAGAAAAAAGGGAAGCAGTTTTGCCACTAATGTCAGCACAATTCCAGAAGCCAGAACTCACTCAACTGAAAACAGGACCAAGTCTACTGTTCTTCACAGCTGCTTGTTTTGTTTACAAAGAAATCATCTACTGGAAAACTGTGTGCAGTTTAAAGCTAAAATGCATAGGGACAAGTTGACTTTCATTAAACAAAAGGGGATTTGTTTCGGTTGTCTGAAAGTTGGTCACACAAGCAAAGACTGCAGGAGTCGTTTGGATTGCAATGTGTGTCACCAAAAGCATCCAGGGGTTCTTCACATACAACAAAAGGAGCCAGGAGCCTCTTCAGAACAAAGCCAACAGACAACAAGTTCTCATGTCAACTTCTCAACTGCAACCACCCAGACATGTGGGCATATTGGGGCCGGTCATGATGATAATGCTGTTTTTTCTATTGTTGCAGTTAAAGTTAAAAGTCAAAAGAGCAACAAAGTTGTGCAAACTTATGCATTTCTTGATCCAGGAAGTTCAGGTACGTTCTGTACAGAAACTCTGGCAAAAAGTCTGAACTTAAAGGGCAAAAGAACAAATATTATGCTGAGAACAATGAGTCAAAATAAGATTGTTAATGTACAAATTTTGTCTGGTTTAGAAATCTCTGAATTGGAAACAAATGATTTCATAGAGCTACCAGATGTTTTGACTCAAAGTACCATGCCAGTTTCTACATTGAATATTCCCCAGCAAAAGGACATTGATCAGTGGCCTCATCTTAAACCTGTTAAGCTTCATAGCATCAATGCAGATGTGGAACTACTGATAGGAACTGATGCTTCAAATGTTTTAGAGCCCTGGGAGGTGATCAACAGTGTAGATGGTGGGCCTTATGCTGTAAAAACTAAAGTTGGCTGGGTCATAAATGGTCCCCTGCACACTAGAAGCCACAGCAAAAATAGAAATGTTTGCACTGCTGTGACAGCCAACAGGATCTCTGTTGAGCATCTTGAAGAAATGCTGATCAAACAGTACAATCATGATTTTAACGAAAGATCATCAGAGGAGAAAACTGAAATGTCTAGAGAGGATTTGCATTTCATGAACATTGTCAATAACTCTACAAAACTTATTAAAGGTCATTATAATATTGACTTACCTTTCAGGAGTGAAAGCCCCTGCTTTCCAAATAACATCTGTGTTGCAGAGCAGCGCCTCCAGAGCCTCAGAAGGAGATTTGAAAAGGATGCTGAGTACAAGGAGGAATACACTGCATGTGTAAACAACATGCTGCAGCAAGGACATGCTGAGGCTGTACCAGCAGAGGACCTACAGAAAGGTAATGGACAACTGTGGTACATTCCTCATCATGGAGTGCATCATCCCACAAAAGGAAAGTTGAGAGTTGTATTTGATTGTGGATCAACCTATAAAGGAGCATCACTGAACAGTCAGCTTTTACAGGGACCTGACCTCACAAACTCTCTGGTTGGAGTTCTCATTAGATTTAGAAAAGAGCCTGTTGCACTAATGGCTGACATTAATGCCATGTTTCACCAAGTTTATGTCTCTGAAAAACATGTCAACTTCCTCCGTTTCCTGTGGTGGCATCATGGTAACACATCAAAACCTGCACAGGAGTTCAGGATGTTGGTTCATTTGTTTGGAGCAGTGTCTTCACCCAGCTGTGCAAATTATGCTCTGCAAAGAACTGCTGATGATAACGCACAACAGTTTCCAGCTGAAGTGGTTGATACTATCAAAAATAACTTTTATGTGGATGACTGTTTAAAATCTGTTCCCACAGAAGAAGATGCAATTCACATGGTGAAGAGGCTGACGGACCTCTGCTCTAAGGGAGGATTTGTGCTCTCAAAATGGGTAAGCAACAGTCGCACAGTGCTCATGTCCATTCCAGAGGAAAGGAGAGCAAAAGAAATTAAGAATCTGGATTTGGACACAGATGAACTTCCGGTCGAGAGAGTACTGGGTTTACAGTGGAGCATCGAAACAGATGAGTTCAAGTTCAGAACCTCTGTGCAGGACCGCCCACAGACCAGAAGGGGCATTTTGTCTGTGGTTAGTTCACTATATGATCCCTTGGGAATCCTAGCTCCCTTCAGTATGCCAGCTAAACTGCTGCTACAAGAACTTTGTCGACAAAACTTGAAGTGGGATGAAGTTATTCCCCATTCTCTTTGTAGGAAGTGGCTCGACTGGCTGGAGGACCTCCAGCTGATCTCCAGTTTTAAGGTGGATCGTTGCATCAAACCAAGCTGCATCAGGAAACCAGACAAAGGACAACTTCATCATTTCTCTGACGCAAGTCAAGACGGCTATGGAACAGTGTCATATTTAAAACTGGAAAAGAATAACATCTCACATGTTGCTTTCATTCTAGGAAAAGCAAGAGTTGCTCCTATGAAGCAAACAACAATTCCCAGGTTGGAACTGACCGCTGCTGTTCTTGCTGTCCGAGTCAATAAACTGCTGCAAAAGGAGCTGCAAATACAATTGGAAAAACCTGTTTTCTGGACTGATAGTACAACAGTACTAAAATATATCTCCAGTGAAACCAGAAGATTTCACACCTTTGTTGCAAACAGGATCTCTGTCATCCGAGAAGCAACAGATGTGAATCAGTGGAGATATGTTTCCTCCAAGGAAAATCCTGCAGATGATGCATCCAGAGGCATGAGAGCTGAGGAGTTCATTAAATGCAGGAGATGGATAAATGGGCCTGAATTTCTCCACAGATCAGAAGAGGAATGGCCTAAACTGGATGTGGATCACCATGCAATTCCTGCAGATGACCCAGAGGTCAAAAGGGACCTAGCCGTGAGTGTTCTTGTAAAGGAGTCACAAAATCCTACAAGCTATCTGATTCATTATTTTTCATCTTGGACAAAGCTTAAAACCTCTGTTGCCTGGTTTTTAAAGCTGAAAAACATTCTGATGCTGTTGCAACAGAAAAGGAAGGAGTTTGCTGCTGCAGACCTAAATAAAAATGAACCAGAAAAGCAAAACAAAGCCCTAGACAAGCAGATAGACAGATTCAAGACCACTCTGAAGAAAGAAAATCTGACTCCTGAAGACTTGGCCAAGGCAGAACTAGCCATTATTCAGTTTGCACAACAACAGAAATTTACAACTGAACTGGCTTTAATCACCAGTGGCCTTAAAGCAGTCTCTAAGAGAAGTTCTTTATACAAACTCGACCCAGTATTGGATGCTGGAGTCCTCAGAGTGGGTGGCAGGTTGAATAAATCAGCCATGCCTGTCGAAACAAAGCATCCTGCAATTTTGACAAAGGATATGCATGTGTCTACACTGATTTTACGCCATATTCATCAACAGTTGGGACATGCAGGAAGAGCTCATATGCTGTCAAGATTAAGACAAAAATACTGGATAATAAATGCTAATTCAGCTGCCAGAAAAATAATTTCTCACTGTGTTGTTTGCAGGTGTAACAGAGGAAAGTTTATTGAACAAAAGATGGCAGATCTGCCAGAAGAAAGAGTCCTGCCAGCCACCGCTCCTTTTACAAATGTTGGAGTGGATTACTTTGGTCCTGTAAGTGTTAAAAGAGGACGAAGCCTCCTGAAAAGGTATGGAGTTCTGTTCACTTGTTTCACCAGCCGTGCAGTGCATCTGGAAATGGCCTACACCCTCGATACAGATTCCTGTATAAATGCAGTCCGCAGGTTCATCTGTAGAAGAGGCCCAGTTTCCACCATCAGATCTGACAATGCCACAAATTTTGTTGGTGCAAATCGAGAGCTGAAAGAGAGTTTAGCTGAACTGAATCATGCTAAAATTCAAAATGCTTTTGTGCAGGATGGAATTAAATGGAACTTTAACATCCCAGCAGCATCTCACCAAGGTGGAGTTTGGGAGCGTCTGATTCGTTCCATAAGAAGTATTTTGGTTTCAGTTCTTAAAGAGCAAGTTTTGGATGATGAAGGGCTTCAAACAATTTTTTGTGAAGTTGAAGCCATATTAAACGACAGACCCATCACTAAAGTTTCCGATGACTCAAATGATCTTGAGGCACTAACATCCAACCATTTGTTGTTGTTAAAAACCAAACCAGTTTTGCCACCAGGATTGTTCAATCAAAAGGATCTTTTTGTCAGGAAAAGGTGGAAACAGGTGCAATACATGGCAGAGCTGTTCTGGAAAAGATGGCTTTCTGAGTACTTACCTCTGATGCAGGAAAGACAAAAATGGACAAGAACTAAACGATGTCTCACTCCTGGAGATGTTGTCTTAATTGCAGACTCTACAGCTCCAAGAGGAACATGGATGATGGCCAAGGTCCTGAGCGTAAACCAGGATGCAAAAGGCTTGGTCCGCTCTGTGCGATTACAAACAAAGACCAGTGTTCTCGAAAGACCCGTGACCAAACTTGTTTTGCTACTGGAAGCATCAACCTGAAGAATTAAGGACATGTTTGAGGGAATAGCTCCTTTTTCTTCATTTGTAATTGTGACAGTATTCACAATTAGGGGCCGGAGTGTTGGAGCTATTTATTCTTTATTTCTTTATCCATTTGAATTGTGTTAATTCCTAAACTTATATATTTTTTGTATTATTTACAGACTTAATTTATAGGTTAATTGTTGCATTTTTGTGCATCTATTTTTTGTTGTTTTATTATTTTTCTTTATTTTATGTAAAACAGGAAGAAATGTGGGCGGTCCACTTTCTATAATTGTAGGAGCCTGGTAAGGACCAGCGGGCATTTGGGTTAGGGGCCTATGGGTTTTTACCAGTGCAAGAGAGGTAACAGGGCAAGGAAAGTTTGAACTCTGTAATGTGACAAAATATAGGAAATAAATCAACTAAACATCTACAAGTTTGGACTTCCACTTCTTTTGCCTGCGTCAAGAAAACGTGACCCCAGTGCCTATAGTGGCTTATTGGAACTTAATTGGATGTTTGGTTTGACAAACAATTGCCACTACAGTAAGCGAACAACAGAAGCTGCAAGAGGCTAAAAATACTCTGTCTACTCAAAGGCTTTGGCAGCAATGAAATGGGTCTGTAGGTCTTTGTTTGGATGCTAGATAATGGATGAATAGATAATTACATTCAGCATGTGCTCCGGTCTGGATCTGCACAGGCAGTGTGTGTGTTGGCTCAGAATGCAGGGCCTGAACAAAAAGTTAATGGGTTATACACACATAGTTAATTCATTTCATCTACGCATATCAAAAACAAAGCAAAATGTGTTTAATTTGGATTCATAATGAGAAATTTTTATTATATTTATTCATTATAACCAGCTCAGTTGAAGAACCGTCCATATTTGTTTTTATTCCTTCTTAATTTTCCATCTCCGTTCATAAGTTAAGCTTTATTTTGAAATGTCTTACCTTCTCCATGCAGACAGCAGCCTGAGAGTCAAAGATGTGATTAAGGAGTTTCATCCAGGTGGCCGTTATGCCAAGCACACATCTGGAGAGGTAATTAATGCTTGTTTTAATCCCTTCATCCATCCAGTAGTGTTTCTTTCATGAATGCAGCCCAAAGCTTCTAAAGGCTGAACTTTTCCTTCTACTCCTCACCAACCAAAATGATCTAAATTCTAGAGTGAGGTCAGAGACTGGCACGATGTCTGCAACATGTAGGAACACTTCTGACAACAATAGACAATCCATCCATCCATCCATCAATCATTCATTCATTCATCCATCATAATCAACACGATCTCCATTCATTCATTCGTTTACGCATCCATCCATCCATCCATCCATCCATTCATCATAATCATCACCATCTCCATTCATTCATTCGTTTATTCTTCCATCCATCCATCCATCCATCCATCCATTCATCATAATCATCACCATCTCCATTCATTCATTCGTTTATTCTTCCATCCATCCATCCATCCATCCATCCATTCATCACCATCTCCATTCATTCATTCATTTATTCATTTATTCATTCATTCACCCATTCATTAATTTATCACTACATCCATCCATCCATCCATCCATCCATTCATCACCATCTCCATTCATCACCATCTCCATTCATTTATTCATTCATTCACCCATTCATTCATTTATCACTACATCCATCCATCCATCCATCCATCCATCCATCTAAATATTTAGTTATTTGACTTCAATCATTTATTAAAGAGCCACTTTTGCTGTTTTTTTTCCTTTTGGTTAAGACCAGCATCCACTGTAGGAGCTCTCAATGGGATCACAAAATGGTTTTCACAATCCTTGTGATGGGATTCCTAAAGTGTATGGGGTGCCAAAATATGTCATAAAACAAATAAATGCGAATTCACCATGAGATAAGTAGATTTATTTATTTAAACCATGATTTAAATATTAAAAATACAATCAAGATGCACAATTAAAAATCAAATCTTTCATTATACATTAAAAGTACATTTAAGTTAAGTAATTAAATGTAATTTGGTTATTTCATTTCATTTAAATATAACGTAAAATTATTAAATGCACAATTAAATATCAAAATGTGACATTAAATAGTTTAATACATGAATATGCAATGTTGGGCAAGCTACTTGTCCAGTGTAGTGAGCTAAGCTATCAGTTACTCAACAATAAATTAAGCTTCACTACACAAAAGCTATCACCTAAAGAATTATAGCAAGCTAAGTTACACTAATGTGTTAAAAGTAGCTTAACTTCATCAGAAGCTACTTAACGTTGTACCAAGCTAACGTCAATTCAAAATGAGTCTGATACACTGGTTAAAATATTTATTAAAGATCAGCCAATGACATATCACAGTGTAAACATTGCTTTATGATCAGCATATTAAAATAAAAACTGAAGTAATTACTAGTAGACAAACTAGTAAACAATCTGCTGTTATTAGAACCAAATTAAAGGTACTGTGTAGTGTTCTACACATCGAGACATGGCTATGAGTTTGCATTCAATGGACATCTCTAGGGAAAACGAAACCCTACAAAAGGCATCTTATTTCTTTAGGGTCTCCCTTAGAGAAAACTTCTTTAGACCTCAATTAAACAGTCGATTCAAGTCACAAATGAAACTGTTTACAAAAGAAGGTGAAAAAATAAAGAAGCTAATCAAGAGATATATATATATACATTTATGTCTCACTGTATAATTTAATTTCTACCTACATATTTATTCATTGTATTTTGGGGGGTAATTAATTGAAGGCTTATTTATTGAGCATTTATTTATTTATGTATTTATATATATGGGAGAGCTGTTCCTCCATACCTAAAAAATCTTATCTGTGCAAATAAGCCTTAAAACAAATTTATGTAAACATCCTGTCTGGTAAATTAGGCCATGAAAATACAATATCGAAGTTTCACTACTGCTGTCTAATGAGAATATCTTAGTGGCACTCATCAGATTGAACTATCTGGAAATTAAAGGCGCCAATAAAGTTAAAGCTGATATATTTTTTTCATTTTTATTTAAAAAAATATACTGTAGTTGACTGAGGCAGAATAGAGGCTCATGCGTGAATGTCCAACGATTGTTGTTTCAAAAATAGAAAATCTGGTTTCATTACCTAGTTTTGCCCTGGATTTTGTAGCGTTTGTGGCCGCTATGTCGCTACTTGATAAAGACAATAACGTCACTACTGGAAAGTTACTTGATAAATAAAGCAGCGACGCTACGGTCAAGCTACTGGAACATGTAGTTAAACTAATAGCTTCGCTTCATGTAGCAGCGTTACTGCCCATCACTGTAAATATGAATTTAAAATTAATATAATAACTTCACTTTACATGTAGAAATAAAATATATTTAGTATTTTTAGCAGGTCACCAGTCTGTGGGATTGTTTTTTTGTTTTATTTTGTGAGGGCGCTCATAGGCTGAAATGTTAGGAAACCATTTTCTACTTTATATTTCCTAATGACCAGATGTTAATTCACACAAATTTCAAAAATGGTTGTGGTTTTTCACAAACTAGTGATGGTATGCTGCTAGGAAAGTTCTCTGAAAGATTAAGTTGTATGACTTTTATCTCCACATAAACAAGAAAACATAAAAATAATTATTGGCACTAAAGTATTTGCAGAAATGATCGTTAGGTTACATGTTTTTGAATCTATTTTGTAATTGCTTGCCCTTTCCAATGCATACATGTCACTACTATCACTATCTGCTAGTGTTGCACCGATATCGGTAGCAGTATCGGGCGGGGCTCAGATTCAGCACTAAAATGGTGGTATCGGTATCGGCGAGTAACAAACAAATATGGCACTGATACCATTTTGAGAGCCAAAAGTTTATTCAGCTACTGTCACCCATTCCAGGTAGGCAAGAAAAAGTTCTACTGGATTCACTTTGTATTAGTCCAGGGTTCCTACAGCATGAGGCAAGTTAAATTCAAGACTTTTTAAGACTTTTTAATGCCACTTGAAGAAACACAAGAAAAACCTGCTTGCAACAACTTAACAAAAAGGTTTATTTTAACATAAACCACTGCAGTAATGTTTCAAATTTTGAAAAGCTTCCCATACAGGAAGAAAGCTAAAAACACACAAATGACGGATATATATCAACAATTATTTAACTGAATTCACAAACTTTGTTTTAGCAGGGAACAAAACAAATAAGTTTTAAAGCCCCAACCTAACCAGTGCTAAGTCTTTTTTGCAGCTATTTTTCTTTGTATGGTTTTCTTAGTATGTTTGATTTGGTGATAAGTGGAGACGTTGCAGAGACAAGGGTGGAACTAAACTGAGAAATACCGCCTTTTTTTAATTTTTTTTTATTTCAACAAACATTTACATGAAAAAATACTCTCAGAGAGAATAGCAAATGTGAACATGAACAGATAAAGATCAATTACAAGAAAAACAAATAAGTAAAACACCTAACAGGGGATTTATCTCGGCAAACATTTAAAACAAACATAGACAGAGCCATAGAAATAATAGAAACAAAAAGGTGAATGCACTTAAAATATTAAATGTTTGGAGAAATCCAGTCACAATTGTTTAGCATATTTGTCATTTTTTATCTTCTTAAGAGAAGGAAAAATAGATTTTAAAGCCATTCATAAACCAATGAAAGGATATTTTTCTTTGTATGGTTTTCTTAGTATGTTTGATTTGGTGATAAGTGGAGGCGTTGCAGAGACAAGGGTGGAACAAAACTGAGAAATACCGGCTGTTTCTCGGTAACTCCATTTTTCGTTACATTTACACTTGCTCATATTTTTCAGATAAAAAGTAAATAGCGCATCTCCCAAATGTCCCGGCCGCAAAAAACGTTTTATTGGTTCCTCTATCGGGACGGAACCAATAATGGCGAGCTGTTTTTTTTTTTTAAATAGAAAAAAAAAAAATTGGCAATTTTATTGTTTTATTTAGATTACAAAAATAAATCGTAATAAAAATAAACCTATTTATGATGTTTTAAAAATTAAGACGTACGAAAGACTGATTCAAGACATTTTAATACCAATTAAGGCCTTGGTTTTATTTTGAAGAATTTAATGCCTTTTAAGACTTTTTAAGGACCCGCGGGAACCCTGTGTCTTCTTCCTGCTTCACAAAGGTAGGCAGCAGCTTGACAAAGCCACGATGGCAATTATTTTACATCCAAGTAGTATGCAGTTCTTCATATATACACACATCAGGGCTCGATGTTAATCTTTGCCCGATCGCCCGGGGCAAGTACTTTGTATTGTCGGGAGAGTACAAATTTCATTGCATTTGCCCGCCGGGCAAGTGCGGTGATCACAAAAAAAATTATTTATCACTTAAAGCTATAGTGTGTAACTTTTAGCGACATCTAGCGGTCAGACTGCAGACTGCAGCAACATGAACATCTCCCCGCCACCGCTTCTCCCCCCCCAACAGTACAGCGAGCGTTACGCGACAAAATGTCTTCTACGACGTCCGCATCACCTACCTTCTCAAGTGATGAGGTTTGTTTACATAGATAATTTTACAGATAGTATTTCATTAGTCTGTGTAGGGTATAGATTTCATGTAGACTTAAGATAATAAATATACCCGTTATTTTTTCTACATCGTTGTGACGTTTTGGCGATCTCGCAATCGCTAGTTTGTTGGCTCTGCGCTACGGCAGCAAAGATGTCTGCCTCCATGGCTGCGAGACCCGCTCCTATGTAATTATAAATAACGAATTCTAAGGCAACGCAAATATTAAGGTTAAGAGGCTGAGCTCGTAGATGATGATAAAAAAACATAGTTATGTATAATATATTACATTTCTGACTGTATATCCCTGTAATTATTACACACTGTAGCTTTAAAATTACTTTAAAATCACCGACATTAGCTAAAAACGACCCAGCCGGCGCCGTTTTTGTTGTTTTGTACACATTCTCGCGTGATTTGAAAAAGCCGCGAGATTTTCCGCCAGATGGCGTGATTTTTGTCAAGCTAGCGGTAATTTTGATGTAGTTACCAAAACGACAAACAAGCTAGAAAGCGCTATCATATGGCAGTCTTCTGTACAGTGGTCATACATTAAAAAATGTTCATTAATTTTTTTTCTCTCAGACATTGGAGAGGTACATTTAAATGTTATAGAGCTAAACATGTTAAATTGGTGACCTGTTATGTTATTATTATTGTCTTGTTGCTGCATTTATTTTGTCAGGGAAAACTAATCCTGAGTCAGTTAAAAGTCAGGGAATTCTGAAATTATGTAAGACTGTGGAAACCCTGTATAAAATAACTATGTATAATGATTCTCTAGAAAAGTAGCATTATATTAATAGTATTATCTTGTATAAACATACTGTGACTCTAAAATAAGTTATTAATTTGTGACATTGACTTCTATCTTGTGATTTATCTTAAGTTTTTAACCTGTCAAGTTTTTTTTTAGATTTTTACATTACAATTTATATTTTTCCAAGCACACAACAGTTTAAAGCAAAGTTTAGTTTGATAGAATGTGCAGGAAGGATTGAAAAGCATGTTAACACGGAAATGTAGGCTTGAGTTCATTATCTGAGACATGCATATACACACCAGGAACCTGTAAAATTAAAAAATACTGAATTACAAAAACACTTAAAAAACAAACATGTTTCATTGATATATATATATACAAAAATGAATATTAGGAACTATATTTATCAAACATTATACTGGGTAAGTAAAAATAGTTTCTGGGCAAATTAAATGTGAAAGTCACTTGCCCAAAGGGCAAGTGGTAAAAATCCTTAACGTCAACCCCTGCACATACATCAATTTCAAACAGTTGGTATCAGTATCGGTCGATACTGCACAGCCAGATATCGGGTATCATATCGGGGCCAAAAAATGGCATCGGCGCAGCACTACTATCTGCACATAGATTAAGTCATTCAGCCCCAAAAACAAGGATCCGAACCAAAAGATCTCAACAGGTTGCGCTACAAAATCCTAAGCTATGATTCCATTTAGATATTCTAGATTTCTTTATTACGACTTATCTTTATAAATAATATCTAACCACTGAGTGAAATGCACTGATGGGTAACTTATTTTTTTAATTTTTTTGGATTAAACGTAAAGATTAATTTATACCTGTATCGTTGTAACAGGTGTTAAATAGTGTTTCTAGTGAAGTAGGAGGCGTGCTGTGGTGTAAATGCGATCCTTTGTCTCTGCTCAGTCCCTCAGTCTGGAGGGCTTCTGTCTCTTCCTGAAGACCTACCTGGAAGTGGAGGACTTCCCTCCAAACTTCTGCCAAAAGCTCTTCCGCTATTTTCAACAAGCAGAGGATTTGTCTCCAAAAAGAACCATGCCCAAAGGAGGTAACTGATTGTAATACTTGAAGTACTTTCATTTCGGAAGTCATGTAACTTTTTACGCATCAGTGGTTTTCTTATCGCTGCCTTAAAGTGATTAAAAACAAAGGAATGCTACGAGTGTCTCCTGTTTGCCTTTCGGTTTCTGCACCTGTCACCGAATACACCTGCAACTAACCTTCAGAAAGTTTCTGATCATTTATTTATATGATCCCCCATGTAACTTACCTCTTATGTAATGCAGTAAAGTTTTACTCCAAAGCTTCTGTATTTTCAGGAGGAGTCTTTCTACGCGATGTGTCCTGTTACTTCTCAGTGCTGGAGGAGGGGCAGCCCCGGGAGAAGCTTGAGTGTCAGTTTGACATTTACATCATTTACTTTATAGGACTGAGCTAATTAAACCCATTGATTAGATTTCACAGTTGTTTTTGTTTAATTCTAGTTACTTTCAAGCTTTATGACAACGATGGGAACGGATTACTGGACAGTTCTGTAAGTATAGATAAGAGTTTGGTGCTTTGATAAAAAAAAAAAAACAACAACACTTTTTTAAAGGAAAAGTCTGGTCAGCAAGGGATAACCAGTGAATCATTATTTATACCTAAATGTAATACGTTTGCGGTGACTTTATGAAATTAGCGTTAATCAGTAAAAAAATAAAATAATAATTTTTGTCGCGATCATTGAGTCTGGGAGCGGCTATTTTTGCCCAAATATAGTAAAACCGCACTACTGACATCTTCCAGCAGTGACGTCACGGTGCGGTAAGCCTAGCGCCATTCTCCCCGCTTTACGAGCAAAATCAATGGGAACTACTAGACACATCTGCAATCAACAACAATTATTGAAGATTTCCAGAGGACTTCACCATTGAAATTCACCAGAGCTATAGTGAAACTGACAATGCCCACGTGCATGGCAGCTGGATGTTGGAATACATCGAGTAAAAGTGAAGAAAATCAGTTATTTTAACTTTCCGATTCCTGATCCTCCGTGGACGGGTTCGTCTTTGAAGAGGGAGGATTTGCCATCGAACTTCTGGCCAGAGAAAAAACCCGTAATATGTAGCCAACATTTGGAAGAAGAATGTTTTCAAGATGACTTGGATAATAGCGCGTTGTGACAAACACCAGATACAGCACTGGGACTTGATCAACAGCCAATACCGCACCGTGACGTCACAAACCAGTAGATGGCAGTAGTGTTCTTTGACAAACATGGATGCCTCCAGTAAAGCACACTGAAATGAAAATTACTCCTAATTAAAAACAATTATAATTTATTGAAAAGTATGTAATAATTTATATTTAAAGTACTTTCATAAGTTTGAATTCTGAACATGACCGGGCTTCTCCTTTAAAATAAAGTAGAAACACTACTTCAACAGCATCTGTGATGATAATGATAAACAATAGTACAAATTTACAAATTTCTGGCAATAAATGTTGCTAACAACAACTGCAGTCAACCAGGAGATGCTTCTAGTGGGTAATGCTGTCTTCCTTCAATCAAAACAATACATCTGTTGTCCACTGGAGGGAGCCAAAGTCGACCAAAACTGATTTTTTTTTTTTTTTTAGAACTGCTGTAATATATCAAAATATATAGTTTCATAGAGAGATAAGAGCAGCTAAAGGTACAATGTTTAATAATTACAGGAATTCACTGAAGGAAATGTAATGTGTTATACATATGTATGTTATTGTCATCTACAAACTGTGAGTCTCAACATTTATGTTTGAGTTTTAGGCAGATATCTTTGTGCTACGGCAGCCCAGAGCTGACAAACTAGTGCCTGTAGAGATTGCTATGTTAATGTTAGTGCTACAAGTTAGGCCTATATAAAATCCATATCCTACAAAGACTAATAAAAAACTATAATTAAAGTTATCTATGCAAACAAACCTTTTCCTCAATTGACAGGAATGTTGTTGCAGTCTGACCATTAGATGTTGCTAAAAAAAAATTGCTTTAAATATGTACAGTTTAACCTGCAGTTAATGGAGAATTCCGGTTTTTAACACTTTTAGCCCATTTTCTGTAGTGTCCAGGATGAAATCGAATGATCGACACCAAAATTTTGACAATTGCTCCTGTCTCTGCTTTTTGGCTCATGCAGAATCCCCCCCTGGCTGCTTCAGAATGGCTTCCATAGTGCATGTCCGATAATGTCCTTAAAACAACCTTAAACGTTCTTTTTTAAAAATATGCTACTCACCGGGTCGTCAGCGCTGTTCAATGACGTTCCAAAAAAAGTTTCGTGAAGAAAAACCGTCGTTCCTGTCTTGTTTTATTTAGTATTATATATTTTTTTTATATTAACCTCTTCATTCCAAAATAAACATTTTAGACAGAACAAACAAGCACGCAAGTACAGGTTTCTCATTAACTGTACTGGTGCAATATGAAAAATAAATGTTTATGTTAAAACTACGCAAACTTACATGAGAAATGTAGCTGTACATCCACAAAATATAGGGTATTTTGTTTCATAAAGCGCAAAAAGAGACAGGCATTTTTGTTTTTTAAAGCCCCTAAGGGGTTCAAACAATAGGCCCCCCCATTTCAACAAATGAGGTTTTTATAGACTAGAAGAGTTCTGCCTTTTAAGACAGGAAAGTATAGCAGTTAAAGTTGCTACTTAAGAAAATACTGAACCATAGAGATAAAAATAGCCCTGTGATTCAAATTATAAATTGTATTTGGAATAAAAATGAGAGAACTAGGGGTGCTAAAAAACACATCCTCCAAAGACAGATATTTACATGGGAATGTGGCAGATAATTAATTGACATATTACTGATATTGCTGGATTTTATTCTGCTTTACTTCCATAAATTGCAGGATCTTCTTTACTTTATCTTTGCCAGAAGATTTAAACTTTAAAAGCCTTGCCCTCATAATTTGCTAATTTATTTATTTATAAAGAAAATATAAACGCTGCTTAAGCTAATTCAAATGAAATTAAAAGTAAAATAAGAAGCCAACCTTATCACTGTCTGTAACCTACTAACAAGCTAAGGAAAGCATCAGATGAGCTACCTGAGAAACTAACGTAACGTTTCCCCACTTTAAAACCAAACAAACATGGTTACTCATCCTGCTGATCAGCTATCTTCACTGCCATCAAAGGCTCCAATGTGTTTTCTTTTCAGGTGCTGCGTCATAACAGTGGTGCTTCTGTGCCATGTTCATTTGTTTTTACAAAAGTTGCATGTTACGACTTTTTTCACTTTACAAAGCGCAGGCTATTTTAATTATTGTGATCAATTTGCGCCGTTGTAGGTACCAGATTGACTCGGGCTGCCAGATTGACTCGGGGGCCTGCGCCTTTTGAGATGCGTCAGAGCGTCCGCCATCTTAAATGTGGCAAATCTGCAGTTTCTCAGTCACTTAAACAGTATCAGAGGGACTTTAATCTCTGAATATACTTTGTATTCGTAGTATTTTTGGTTTTGTAATATTACAAGTTTATTTTTTGTATCCCTTTAGCTTCATTCTCCTGAATTTATTCTCGTTACAAATGCAGACCGCGGGCTCAATGTAGTTTGTTTGAGTGGCATTGCCATAATGTCACGTCATCGGGAGGCGCAAGGCCCATGGCGAATTCGGTGACGTCATCAGAAGGCGCAGGGACCATGGAGAATGTCTTCGTAAAATTGTCCGTTTACAAACAGCAATCCCGCTTTCGAATAAAACCTACACCCCGCTATAATTACTTTAGTAAGCTGTCCAGACCAATCAAAATGTTTTGCGCAATTGTGCAAACGTTAAAACAATTATGTATTGTGACGTCATCAAAAGGCGCAGGCCCCCGAGTCAATCTGGCAGCCCGAGTCAATCTGGTACCTACACCGTCAATCCCGGGGCATGCGCGCTTCATTTGCAGTCTGGACGCTGAGGGTAAACTCCTCACTAAAATCCTGCGGCTCTGACTGCAGCGCTGAGAGGGATTCCTGTGGGAGAGGGAGAAAGGGGTTGGGATGGGGGAGGCGCCCCACGGCAGCAGCTGCCGCTGGAGGAGAAGAGTAGGAACGATACATGCTTTCACGTAAGAGTCTCCAAAAGCCGCCAGTGACACCGAAAAAAGTCGCCAGATTTGTCGCTAGTAGCTTTTTAAAGAAATAGTCGCTGGAGGGGTCTGAAAAGTCGCTGAGTTGTCAACACTGCAACTGCGGCGCTGACTCGCTCCGCCATATTTTTTTTCTTCCCCGGGATGACGGCGGCGGCGGATGACGCATTAATCGCGCGACACAACTAATCGATGATTAAATTCGTTGCCAACGCTTTTAAAAGTCGATTTTTATCGATTTTATCGATTCGTTGTTGCAGCCCTAGACAGGACCAATTGTCAAAATTTTGGTGTCGATCATTCGATTTCATCCTGGACACTACAGAAAATGGGCTAAAAGTGTTAAAAACCGGAATTCTCCTTTAAAGGGATAGTTCGGTATTTTTGACATGAATCTGTATGGCATCTCGATCACCAGCAGCATGCAATCACACTGACTTACCCCTGGCAGCGTCCTGTGAGCAGAGTTATCGTCCAGTTTTGGTCAAGCCGAAAGTAGTCCTGCAGGTTTTTAGGTACAGCGAAATAAAACGTTTCTCTTCCCAAAACATTATGTGTCCAAAAGAGTGATATTTTCGCATCCCAAAAACATTGTAGTGGAAAAAGTCACACGTCGTTATCAATTGGTCCTATTTTCTCTCTGTTCGTATCAGTGCGCGCCGTCATTCAGACAGCGAGCCCAACAACAGCCATGTCTCCTTCCGCGGCGGAGGGAAAAAATACATGTCAAAAATACCGAACTATCCCTTTAATGATTCATTTCAAAGCAACACTGTAACATTCAGCCACTAGGGGCGCTAGACCTGTAAGTTTGAGGTGTGGAATATTGATTGACCAGAGAAACTGTCTAAAATAGGTCATATGAAGCTAATACTTGTGTCAAAGGTTATGCAGTTGTTACTTTAAATGCAAACATGTTCATTAAATACATGGGTCAGGGGTCAGACTGATTGACTGATTGACATGTTTTCTTTTTTTCGGCCCTATTGTACATTTTTTACATATTTGCTGAGGTTTTGGCTTTTTCTTTCAAGGAATGTTCTAGCTTTACATGCTAGATTTTCTGGTCTTTCTTGATTAAAATCTGTTTTTACGCGCTGATTAAGATGGATACGATTGTCTCTTTTGCAGGAAGTAGATCGCATTATTGCCCAGATGATGCGAGCTGCTGATTACCTGGGCTGGGACGTGACCGAGCTGAGACCAGTAGGACCTTCTGCTTTATGCTTTTTCCTCTTTAAGATGTGTAATTGAGATATAAATGCCATTGTTGATTGGAAAAAAATGATGTTTTTGGACAGGTTCTCAAAGACATGATGACTGCAATAGATGTGGACAGCAGTGGAACTGTCACTCTGGAAGAATGGGTCAAGGGAGGCATGAACAATGTGCCTTTGCTTGTGTTGCTTGGACTGAGGGTGAGCAGTGATGATTCACACCTGAAACATTTAAACAATTTACTAAAACTTCCCTCTTCTTGTAACAGATGCATAAAAAAAAATAGGATTATAGTTAACTACTTCTGTAAACTAGTAAAACTTGTATTTTGTAGATATAGATCTTATTATTGTAAATTCCAATTCATGCATAGAGCGAATGGAAAAAAAACATTTTAAGTTCACTGCAAAAACAATCTAGCAATAAGTAAAAACTTCTTAAATTACTTGTATTTACCCTTAATTTGAGTAGGTAAATAAGATGATTTGCCAATGGAATGAGTATTTTTACTCTTAAAATAAGATAATTACATAATATGCACTTGAAATGAGACAATGCAATTGCTTTTTCTTAATATTAATGTAAATTGTCTTTTTCCATTGGCAAAGTGTCTCACTTACCTCTTGAATTCAAGAAAAAATGCACTTATGTGAAGAAAAAAATTGTTATTTAAATTTTTTTGTACATAGGCCACCACTCACTCCCAGTGTTTGTTCAAAAAATGGTTATAAGATTAGACGCATATGGAGAGAATTCTGTTCTATTACTGTTGCAAGCAAAGGACATGTTTCTGTAAATGGAAAAAATACCCCAAAACGTCATTGCTGTAGAAGCTGCATCCTCTGAGGGCTGCATCCAAACATAATAATAGAAAGTGTGGTAGAAAATGCTGCCAAAGGAGCCTGGATCAAATATAAAGTACTTATTCAATGCATTAGGCAAAATTAATGAGTTCCAAAAATTGCTTTACATTGCTGTAGTAAATTTAATTTGATTATTATTATAATTTATTAAACTGCTTCCTTAATGAGGTTTTGCGTCGGAAAAACTGGGTTTATTTTATTTAAGGATTGAGCTCATGCTTCATGAGATTCCTTCTGGGTTCCTAACTTTGATCCCTCCTGCTTCTTCCTTTCCCAAAGATGACGGAGAAGGATGGCCAGCACATCTGGAGGCTGAAGCATTTCAACAAACCCACCTACTGCGGTGTGTGTGAGAACATGCTGCTCGGCCTCGGAAAGCAGGGACTCTACTGCAACTGTAAGAGCTCACCGCTGCCACTAGGGGGCAGTCAAGCTCCTTACACCTGAGTCTCCTGGTTTTTCTTGCCCAGTCTTTACTGATGTTGCCATCTATGTTTCTCCTTAGGCTGTGCTTACACTGTCCACAACCAGTGCGCCAACAAGAATCGAGACTCGTGTGCTCGGACCTTTGTCAAAAGCAAAGAGGAAACTGGTGTAAGAAACACAAACATCTGTTTTGACTTCAAGCAGTTTAGCTTTATTTCTTTTTTTCAGCATAATTTAAAAGAAACTTCAAATAATTCATTAAATTAAAGCTAAAGATGGGTTGGGGAAATAATCTTTGCCTCACTTCTTCTTTTAAGCAGCCCAATGCCATATAACAGCCACTGTAAACACGGTAACTACAGGGAGCATTACGGTGCATTAGAGAGCCGGAGCGAGCCATCAGTGTTTTTAAGTGCAGATTACAGCTGGCACAGTCTGCTCTGTGCAGCTGGTAAATGTCCTAATTCTGCAGAAACGCAGACAATGCTCTGCTTAATCTCCATTTCAGGGTGTAATGTCATCGCCAAAGCTTACAGGTTTTTATGGAGTCATGTTTGCAGACCTTATTGTGTAAGAATCAGAATCTGGTTTAATGCACTTACAAGGAATTTGACTTGGTGTTGATGATGCAGACAATTTATATATATATATATATATATATATATATATATATATATATATATATATATATATATATATATATATATATATATATATATATATATATATATATATATATATATATATATATATATATATATGAGTAGAGCGGGGGTAACCCATTAGAAATCACCGGGGTCCGAATAAAGACAATCATCAACCAGTAAAGGTTTGGAGACATTTTGGATTATAATATGTTACTTTAAACAGAATTTAACACTGAAATAAAATTAGGTGTTTATGCATCCATGTTATACATTGAATTATTAAATTAAAAAATAGAAAAAAAAAATAGAAAATTTTTCCATTTTAAAATCTAAAGTGTTTTTTTTAAGTAGAAAACAACAATCATTCAGTTTGGTTTATAGACAATTTCCTTATTCACATAATTTATAAAACACCTGAACTGTCCGTATGTTTTTTCTTTTTTCTGTCTTAAAGGAATAGTACACCCAAAACATGATTAGCCTTCATTTTCTACTCACCCCCATGCTGAACAACACTCTGGAGTACTTTTTTGATATCTCAAATGCATCTGGAGATCTGGGAGGCTTCTTGCTGTCTGCTGACATTCAAATAATGGAGGTCTATGGTGACCGAGACAGAAAGGTCCATAAAAGTCCACAAAAAACGTGTTAATATTCCTCCATACTGCTCGTCCAATGTATTCCAAGTGTCCTGAGTGGGTAGCATCCAGAATTTACTCGAAACGAAGTCATTTAGAATGTTTTTAGAGCATAAACAGTAGTGTATAGGATTTCCTGAAAGCGCGCACATGCGCGCTCACGACGCTACGGAAACCGGCAGACCAAACCAGATGAAAGTGCGCATACAGCGTCTGCTCTGCCGATAATGCAAGCGTAGAAGAAATGTGCTGTTTACCTGTGCAAAGAAAGAAACAACGAAAGAAAAATTTCTGAGGACTTCAGTGTTGAGGAAGAGCATGAGTTCTTTGCCGAGCTGAATGCGCACTTTCATCTGGTTTGGTCTGCCGGCTTCCGTAGCGTTGTGAACGCGCATGTGCGCGCTTTCAGGAAATCCTATACACTACTGTTTATGCTCTAAAAACATTCTAAATGACTTCGTTTAGAGTAAATTCTGGATGCTACCCACTCAGCACACTTGGAATACATTGGAAGAGCAGTATGGAGGAATATTGACACGTTTTTTGTGGACTTTTATGGACCTTTCTGTCTCGGTCACCATAGACCTCCATTATTTGAATGTCAGCAGACAGCAAGAAGCCTCCCAGATCTCCAGATGCATTTGAGATATCAAAAAAGTACTCCAGAGTGTTGTTCAGCATGGGGGTGAGTAGAAAATGAAGGCTAATCATGTTTTGGGTGTACTATTCCTTTAATGAGAGCAGTGGGCTTTATGCTGCCCTGCAAGGCTGTAAACCTGGTTTAAATGGAGACTAAGCCATTCTAAAGCTCATATCAAGGAGCTCATTTTGAGTCTGGATCCATATTTATTTTTGATTCTGTTCATGGTGGAGAATCCTGCTTCACAGCAGCAGGTTGAGCCAAACATCCTCTAAATGTGCAGGGTCATCTTTGAGCACCATTTCACTTTCTTTCACCAGTTCACCACAGTTCTTCCAGCAGTCCACACTTTCTCTGCTCTCTTTTTCTCATCATCTTCTCCTTCTTTCCCATCGCCCGGTTTGCCACAGGTTTGCCTGCTGTGTCTAAAAGTAGCAGCAGCAGCAACCCAGACTGACAGCAGCTCATTGGATAATTTGGATCATGTGTAGGCTGGTGCCGGACGCTCTGCAGGGCTTTACCGTATTAACAGGAGGAGCAACACAAGTGAAGTTAGACACTGTCGTCAGACAACATGCAGTAATTTACAGATGTTTTAAATCAGGTTGGCTCCGGATTAGCCAGCAGGTAGCGGTCCGCTAATCCGTGATCTCTGCGGTATTCAGTGCGTTAATGTAACACAGAAGGTCTAGAGATGCTACGTTGGTGTAGCTTCTAGGTCCTAAATTGGGGGAGGAAGGGAGACGGTGTCAAGGCGTCTCTGGGCCTTGTTGATAAGGCTGGTAGCGGATGGGAAGAATCTGCTCTGTAGTGTGAGGTTTTGGTCCCGGTGGACCGCAGCCTCCTGCCAGAGGGAAGTGACTGAAACGGTCTGAAACAAAGATTTCCTTTGTCTATGGGAGATAGTAGGAGTATGAGTAGAAATGTTGTTAACATAGATCCTGGCTTTTACAATTCAAAATGTCAGAATTAGCGTTGACCTCGAAGCTTTATAGAGTCTATAGACCGGTATCGAGTATTGCAGGCTACCAAATGACTCCCCATCACTAAAAGGCGGACTCGTTCTTCTGGTTCATTTTGAATTTTTTCTAAGCCAAAACAATGCTTTGTTGGGCTGCTCTATAAAGCCTCGAACTCAACGCTATTTCTGACATTTTGAATTGAAAAAGCTTCCTGGATGGGAAGCGAAACATCTTCAAACTTGGAAAAAAATCCAGAGGATTTAACTTTTTTAGAATGGCTATGACCTGGAGTCTTTAAAAGTTGGTCTTAACATTTGTTTAAAATCCCCACAGTTTCCAGCATGAACTGGATGAATGTTGTTAGAACAGATCAGAATAGAAAAGCAACAGAATATTCTCTGGTTTATGTTTCTGTTTTCCTTCAGAAAGCAACTCATGACTGGATCAGAGCTGACTGTAACTCCAGCAAGTGTGAGGTGTGCTTGAAGAAGATCAAAACGTTAGCCGGGAAGCGCTGCGTTTGGTGCCAGGAGACGGTGAGGATCGCTCTCTAGATGCTTTGGCACAAAGCTGACCGATAGATGGAAAACAGATTTGGTTACAGAGTCTGCTTTATTTTTAAGCGCCATGATGACTGCGTCAGTGCCGGTTTGACGAAGTGTGACTGCGGCCCACTGAAAGACCACATATTGCCACCATGGGCCATCTATCCCATCTCAAAGGTAAAATATCACAGTTTAGGAACAACTTAACTTTTATTTGGCATCAGTGTTATAAGCTGTTTGTTAATGCTGCAGGAGGAAGACGCCAAACTGCTGAGTGTCACTCCTGATGGTCACATCCTGCAGGTCTGCCATTACTTTTTAAAAAGCTTTTTCTTTTCTTTAAATCTATATTTTATTGTTATTTTCCCAGGGAAGGTCGAAGAGGGAAACAACACACTTTAAGAACAGAACTATGTACATACAAGGAGTTTGTCACATACATATTCATACAATAGGATACATTTTACATCATAAATCATACACTGGAAAAAATCTAAATCTAGATAAGTCATTATTTCATAAAATAAGTGCATTTGTTCTTGAATTTAGAAGGTAAAAGACATATTTTGCCAATGAAACAAGATAATTTACATGTAAAATAAGAAAATACAATTACATTGTCTTATTTCAAGTGCATTTTATCTAAATACCTTATTTTAAGAGTAAATATACTCATTCAATTGGCAAATCATCTCATTTACCTACTCAAATTAAGGGTAAATTCACTTAATTTGAGAAATTTTTACTTATTTCTAGATCTTTTTGAACTGAGGAGGCAAAAGAGACATTTTACCAATGGAACAAGATCGATAGATGAATTATTTAGTGAAATAATCGTTAGTTGCAGCCCTCGGTGGGACCCTTACGTGAAGCTGTCAAATGTTTGTTAATGATGCGTTTAAACTGTACTTTTTGTGAGATTAAATTAATTCCTTGTCTTTTTTTTTTTTTTTTTTGGTAATTCATTCGTACAAAATTGTACTTTAAGGCTCAAATATACACATTTGGTGAAAATGTGCCTCTAGGGAAACGCTGGTCTGATAAGGGAGCACTTTTTATATCAGTGAAGTTGATCAGTTGAGGTAAATTAGAATTGATGGGTGTCGAGGCATGAAGTTAACTTTTCTCCCATTCCAGAAGCTTTATGTCTGTTTTGGGAATGTTGTGTTGTTGGAACACCCAGCTGTGATGCAGTTTACACCATCTGATCTAAACTAGGATTTTGGGTTAAGAATTGACTTGTATAGTTTTTTTCTTTTAGGCCAGTACCAATTATTTTGACGTCAGTCTTTTTTATTTTCCAATATTGCTTTCTCTCCCTCCATTTACACGGATAAAACAAATGACACAATGATGAGAAAGCTACACAAGTCTCAAATGTAACAAAAAGGAACCTTTATTAACAAATTAAGCTGAACATTAACAGTGAATAGCAGATGGAGGCATCAGCCATGCATGCGCCTCGTGTTTCTGACTGGTAATTAACTGACATGATTTGGTTTTTTTTGTTTGTTTGTTTGTTTTGGGGTTTTTTTCTTGTTAGGAAGTCCAACTTGAACACATTCTGTTTGTTTGGTTTGATTACTGATGTAACCTAAAGCCTATGGATTTATTTATTTTTCTGTTTATTTTTCAGATCGCTCCGATTCTAAACAATCATCCACTGCTGGTGTTTGTAAATCCTAAAAGTGGAGGGAAGCAGGGTGAACGGTGAGCAACTAGGAAACAAAGCTTGAGTAAATAGGGATGAGTAAACAAAAGATTAGAATAACACCAAAGGTTTTCTACTTTTTAGAAAATAAAAGTCCTGTATTGCATAACGTGATCTCAAGGCACACCACAAGAAATTTCAATCTCAATAAGTCATTTTTTTCTTAAAATAAGTGCATTTTTTCTTGAATTGAGGAGGTAAGTGAGGCACTTTGGCAATGGAACAAGACGATTAATTTAAGATAAGAAAAAAAACAATTGTATTGTCTTATTGAATATTATCTAATTATCTTATTTTGGGAGTAAAAATACAGATTCCATTGACAAATCATCTTATTTACCGCCTCAAATTAAGGGTAAATACACTTAATTTAAGACATTTTTACTAATTTTTTGATAATTTTTGCAGTACACGGCTGCTGAACGCACTTCTGATGTACTTATGGGCCGATACAAGAACAAAAATGCTAATCATCCATAACATTGGTTGGCTGACCATTTAACTCTACTAATGACCAAACCGCACAAATTACAGGTGAACGATATGCAAATGCAAACGTTAACCACGTGCAAAGAGATTTTTCATAAATGAAAATCAACAGCAGCTGCATGTTTTATCTTTTTGATGAACTTTAGCTTTTATTTTTCCCTTTGTTCATGGCTGTTAGAGATGAGCTCCCATCATGATGTGCACTAATAGTGTATTCATGATATTAAGTGTTATTTTTATTTTTTTCCCCACTAATTATTCTCATCCTTACCTCAATATACACAGTTTAGAACCTCATGTTTTTTTTTTTTTTGGCCGCTTTCAGTCTGCTGATTTCCAAGAAATGCAGACGGGAACCGGTTTAGGTGAGCAATCTTTGTAGATCCCCTACAACCAGAGGCAGGGTGTAACTTTACATTTATTTCAGTAACTTTCTTTAAAAAAATTCTAGTTACTCTCCCCACCATGTCTAACTTGAGTTGTTTGACGCCAGGTGGATCTGCAGAAAACTGTAGATACTTTAACTGGAATTTCTTTATCTTCTATTTATGTTTTATGTTGAAAGATTGATCTCAAGTTTCTATTTTGGCCATTCTTTAAAATTTCATTTTAAATCATGTCAATTATTTGCGTTCTTCAATTTTATTTTATACTATTAAATACCAGAATTTGCACCTGTTTGTCTGATCATCATAAAAATTTATTCCGACGTTATGGAGCAACATTTACTCATTTTGGTCCTTTTTTACAATTTCTTTAACAACTACTTTCTACTTTTACTTTAGTAAAAACAAAAACAAAGTTAAAGTATTGCTAGATGATTCATTGGGTAAGATTTTGGGCACTCTGCCCCTAACATGTCCACTCATCGCACATGTAAAACTTTGTTTTATATTATAGCTTATTTAGAATCTGAACCAGTGTGTTTAGTGTCCAAAGAGATTGCTGCTTAATCTGTTCGTTCTTGTGCTCATACTGCACCGATTGGCTGATCTCACTGCAGAAGTGTCGGATTGTTTGCTGTATTTTCCTGCTATGTTTTGTGCAGAGTTCTCCGGAAGTTCCAGGGCCTGCTGAACCCGCGTCAGGTGTACAACCTCACCAATGGAGGTCCCAGTCGAGGGTACAGTAAACCAGCAATGTGCAAATTCACCAAGGCATCTTTTATGTGATCCTTTTATCAATGCAGTCTTCGTGATTTTAGACTACACTTCTTTCGGAACCTGCCTCAGTTCAAGATCTTGGTGTGTGGCGGAGATGGCACAGTCGGTTGGCTCCTGGATGCAATAGGTATTGAACGCAACTCTATAGCCCCATTTAAGCTACCCTCTGAAAATCGTTCTGTGCCGAGCTTGGATCACAGTTCTTATGACCGTTTATACACCACGCTAGCATGGTTCCTCACCTCCTTGTGGCGATCTACGGTACTACTGCTCTCTAGAGGGAAACAAGCAAACCAACACGGCAGCGCCCCTAACATTCAGGAAATTATGTTTTGTTTTCGTGATATTTTGTTGTTTGCAGAGAGTCAGGGGAAGAAGGCAGCCTTTGGTGAATTTATTTGAAAGATTGGCGTTTGGGAAGTGGATACGACAAACGATAGTCTATTCACACTGGAAAAAAATCTAAATCTAGAAAGTTCATTATTTTTTAAGACAAATGCGTTTTTTTCATGAATTTACGAGGTAAGTGAGACATTTTGCCAATGAGACAATTTACATTTAAAATAAGAGAATCACAATTTTATTGTCTTTTTTCAAGTGAATATTATCAATTTTCTTTATTTTGAGAGTAAAAATCCTCATTCCATTGGCAAATCATCTTATTTTCCTGCTAAATACCCTTTATTTAAGACATCTTGGCTTATTTCTAGATCCTTCTTGCAGAGCAGGGCTTACAGACGCAGGAAACAACGACAGACTGGAAATCATGTGGCACAGTAGGAAAGCTTGTTTTTTCATGAATGTCTGAAATTTCCTGAATACTGAGGCTGACTGTAAGGAGATGAAGCAGTCTTCTCATGCAGAACCGAGCCAGAACTGAACTGTGCCAAGCCCTACACTGCAAAAACGATCTAGAAATAAGTAAAAAATGTCTTAAATTAAGTGAATTTACCCTTAATTTGAGCAGGTAAATGAGATAGTTTGCCAATGGAATGAGTATTTTTAGTCTTAAAATAAGATAATTAGGTAATATGCACTTGAAATAAGACAATGCAATTGTGTTTTCTTATTTTAAGTGTAAATTGTCTTGTTCCATTGGCAGAATGTCTCTTTTAGCTCCTCAATTCAAGAACAAATGCACTTATTTTAACAAAAAATGACTTATCTAGATTTAGATATTTTTGCAGTGTACACTGGAAAAAATCAATTCCGGATTTTCCGGAATTGATTCCGGATCTTCCGGATTTTGCCAATGGAACAAGACAATTTAAATTTAGAATAAGAAAAAGCAATTGCATTGTCTTATTTCAAGTGCATTTTATCTAAATATCTTATTTTAAGAGTAAAAATACTCATTCAATTGGCAAATCATCTCATTTACCTTCTCAAAAAAAGGGTAAATACACATAATTTGAGAAATTTTTACTTTTCATTTCATTTGTTTATTTGAAAGGGGACAGTGTACATTAATAAACATTAAAACAATGTAAATATACCCGAGTTAGCTAAGGAGTGCTAATTTTCATCGGTAGTCCCCCAGCCAGATATTAAAAAGGCAACCTAAAAAATAAACACAAGTATAAAATCACAAGATTAAATTACAATACCAATTACATAAAAACATTATGGTTAAGAAGTAAAATGTATGTAAAATTATAAAAAATTTATTGTAAAATTATTTAAATACACACTAAAAACCTTAGTGCACACAAATTTGGCTCTCTACAAGCCATTTTTTTGCATTCTTTTTGAATGAAGAGAATGACACTGTGGCACTGTGTTCCATTGCTGAGATGCTCTTACGGAGAAAACAGCCTGACCAAAGGCTGTTTTCTCCGGGGGATGATGCAGTCTTCCCTCACTGCCCCTCTGGTTACCCTGACCTCACTGGATCTGAACTGTACAAAGTCACATAGAGGTGGTGCTAAACCATGTCTGATTTTATAAATTAAACAGATGTTTTTGAATTTGATAAGATTGTTCCAGGTAACTAACTGATATTTCATCAGAATACTACAATGGTGGTAGTGGTATGTTTTTTTATCCAGTATTTTTAATGCTTGTTTATATAATGTTTCTAATGGTTTTATTGTAGTAGAGTGAGTATTGGACCAACTTATTATATAATATGTTATATTTCTAGATCGTTTTTCCAGTGTCCTGACGAAGTAGTACCATGTTAGCGTGGTTCAGTTGTGTTTGGCACGGTCCGGTCCAGTTTTGCGTGCCATTTAGCTCAGACTGATCTCAGTATGGTTTTCAAAAGGGTAATGCACTGGAAAAAAATCGAAATCTAGATAAGACATTTTTTCTTTAAGTAAGTGCCTTTGTTCTTGGATTGAGGAAGTAAGAGAGACATTTTGCCAATGGAACAATTGCATTGTCTTATTTCAAGTGTATGTTATCTAATTATCTTATTTTAAGAGTAAAAATAGTCATTACATTTGCAGATCATCTCATTTACCTGCTTAAATTAAGGGTGAATACATTTAATTTAAGAAATTTTTACCATTTCTGGATAGTTTTTCCAGTGTAGAGGGACGTCTTAAAGCTCAGAAACAATGACTGTGATTTCAGACAAGGCGAACATCTTGGGGCATCCTCCAGTGGCTGTGCTGCCTTTAGGAACTGGAAACGACATGGCTCGCTGCCTACGCTGGGGAGGAGGTAAAACAGTCAAATATTAACCTATATGAAAATGTTTTACTAAACAATGGGGATACAGCGTTGTTTCATCATAACTATTGCAAGGATACGAGGGGTCGGACTTGAAGGAAATCCTGAGGGAGATCGAGAAAAGCGAGAAGATTCCTCTGGATCGCTGGAGCATCAGGGTGACTCCTAAAAACCCTCAGGATGTGGGAGACCCTGTGCCGTATGAGATCATGAACAACTATTTCTCTATTGGAGTGGTGAGGGCATCAAACACACCTTCAACCACGAGTCGGTATTAAAGAGCATGTTTTCTTTAAATATGATTATTCTAAAATCTTTGCAGGATGCCTCCATTGCTCATCGCTTTCACTCCATGAGAGAGAAACATCCACAAAAGTTCAACAGCCGGTGAGGACTCTTATGAGTCGGGGACGTTATCCTCAATTATCCACAGTTTCGCTTGTTTTTATACGCTTGGAAAAAATCTAGATAAGTCTTTTTTTTTTTCTTTTTTTTTATAAATAGGTGCATTTGTTCTTGGATTAAGGAAGTAAAAGTGAGATTTTGCCAATGGAACAAGACAATTTGCATTTAAATAAGAAAACACAATTGCATTGTCTTATTTCAAGTGCATATAATCTAATTATCTTATTTTAAGAGTAAAAATACTCATTCCATTGGCAAGCTACTCATTTACCTACTCACAATAATGGTAAATACACTCAGTCTAAGAAATTTTTACTTATTTCTAGATCGTTTTTCCAGTGTACTAGTTTAGATGAGTATAAATTCAACCTATCATTGTCTGTTTGAGATCTTTGAGACCTTTAAAGAGCTGAACTGTTTTTGTGATCGGCCATCGTCTCGATGCAAACAGTAGAGAACACCTTCGGCATAGCTTAACGCCAAGGGATTCGATTTGCAGTTTTCCATAACAGCCAATTAAATTAAACATTTTATGTAAGCCTCTAACCCTAAGCATTTAACTAAAACTTTTTTCTTGTTTTTTTTCTCCCCAAGAATGAAGAACAAGCTGATGTATTTTGAGTTTGCAACTTCCGAGTCCATCTCAGCCTCTTGCAAGAATTTAAAGGATTGTCTCAGTATTACGGTAAGAGTTTAAACAAAACAATTTTCTGCTGCTTTACCATTCATTCCACCTTAATCCATTTATTCTCCTTCCATCCTTCCATTCATTTTCTGCACGCTTATCCAAAGCGGGGTCACGAGGGCTACTGGTGCGTATCTCCAGTTGGCTACGGGCGAGATGCGGGGTCCACCCTGGACAGGTCGCCAGTCCTTTGCAGGGGCAACACAGAGACAAACAGGACAAACAACCATTCACGCACACACTCACACCTTAGGAGAAGTTAGAGAAGTCAATTAACAGGCATGCTCAGGGAACCCATGTAGGAAACCTATGCAAACTCAATGCAAAAAGACCCCGGGCCGGGAACCAAACCCAGAAGCCTCTTGCTGCAAGGCAGCAGTGCTACCCACTGCGCCACTGACCAGCCCGATTCCACTTTAATGATAATGCATGCAGGGGTTATACTGTAACTCTATGTGGATATTTTCTGAGGATTTGCTATATTTTCCCCTTTACCTGAGAGGTTTCCGTGTCTTTATTAGTTTTATAAATGCTGGGTGAGATATAACGGCATCGTTATGTAGGAAATCTTACCTGAATAATGATACGCAGGTAGGGGATACTTGCCACAGCTTCATTTCATGTGTATAGTGAAATTATTTGGACCAAATCCAAATAATTTCTTCTCTGATCACAATAAGATCACTTGATTGACAAAACTGATAAAAATATAAACCGTTTGAGGAAGTGCTAAAAATTATTTTACCTCTCAATGGGGCTTCTCTCTGACAGCATCTAAGCAACCATGACCAGTGTCCATATGTATGGGGTGAATTTCATTCCATTATTGTTGCAAAGAGCTGAAAATTTGGGGGGAAAGATGTAATCCAGAAATGAAACTTAATAAAAAGGTTTTAATCAACAATATGTGCTGTTTTTTTTTTTTAGATTTATTTTAAATTAGATTTTTCCTAAAAATGTTTTATTATATTCAAAAAAAAAATTACAGATTTAATATTTTTAAATTGCTCTGCAATGGACTGGTGACCTGTCCAGGGTGGACTCTGCCTCTGGCCTGTAGACAGCTGGAGATTTCTCTTCACTTCAAACCAAATACAAAGGTTCTCTCGACATGAACATTGACCAGTAAAATGTTTTTGCTGACATCCTTGTACATCGACTGGATGGCTTCTTCGTTTCTCATTTCAGAGGAAATCATATACAAAAAAATTGAATAAAAAATCTTTTAAAGGAATGCAATCTGTAAAAATTGATCTGAAAAACAGAATAACAGAAAAGAAGATATAAGTTCCTTCAAAAAAGGTTCAAAGTTTTCTATCTAAGGAAAACCAGTTGATTGCATCGACTCATTGACTCGAAGGCAATCTCGCACACATTTTCAAAGTCCTCATTTTGAATTGCATTTTAATTGAATTTCCATTTACGAAACATGTTTTTTGGCAGCAATTATGGAACAGAATTTACTTCATACATATTTATTTATGCAGAGTTTGACGTTGTGCACTAGGCATTTAAACTTAAACTATTTGACATGGAGATGCAAAGTTGTTTGTTGCAGCTGTTTGGTGGCGTCCTCTGCATTTACAGGACATGATGTCTGTTTAATATTAGAGAGGGCGCATTGCTTTCTAAGACTCTGTTGATATCATCTATGTTCTAGTTTTTATCAATGTGGTCCTGCTCCAATGTGAAAGGGGCTTTTAAAGGGAGTTGTTGTGATATAGTTTAAAATCTTTAATCGTTTTTTACTAATTTTAATGTTTTTTTGGCTCTATAGTGCTGTGGAAAACCTCTCAACCTGGACAACTTGTCTTTAGAGGGCATAGCTGTCCTTAACATACCCAGCATGCATGGAGGCTCCAACCTCTGGGGCGAAACGAAGAAAGCGGATAGTGTTTCAGAAGCAGTGCACAGCGAAGTCATCACTGACCGAGAAGTTCTCAAAACAGTCTTACAGGGTGAGTCTCCTCAATCACCTTGTAGAGACTGTCTGTAAAAAAAAAAAAAAAAAAAACATGAAATCTATTGAAGTACTTTTTATGTCTTTTAGATATAAGCGATAAACGTTTTGAGGTGGTGGGGCTGGAAGGAGCGTTGGAGATGGGACAGATCTACACTGGACTGAAGAGTGCCGGACACAGACTGGCACAGACCTCTGAAATCACCATCAGGTTTGGACCTTCTGCTGCAGCATGAAACCATGATCTAAGCTCCTCTCAGTTTATCAATGAAAACATCGAGCCATTCTTATTTTAAACCTTAACCCCTGAGGTTTTTTTAACAGCTTAATTCCAAAGAAAGCTAAAAAACAATCCACTGGACTTTGTTTCCAAGTTTGAACACATTTCGCTTCGCATCCAGGAAGCTTTTTCAATTCAAAATGTCAGGTATAGCGTTGAGTTGAGGCTTTATACAGTAGCCCAACAAAGCCTTTAGAAAACATGCAAATTGAAACGTATGAATGGAATGAGAGTCATTTGGCTTCAGCATATTGTTAAACAGTTGTTTGGTTTTCCGTCATGATGCTGATCAGGACTCCATTTCTCTGTTTAGTTTGCTTTTTGCTGTACGGACACGTATTATGTCATAATATGTAACCGTATCTTAGCGTTTCTAATTGCAGCACAAAAAAAGCTCTTCCAATGCAGATTGACGGGGAGCCCTGGATGCAGCCTCCCTGTGAGGTAAGGCGGGTTAATCTGCTAACTATAAATTATCAGATTCACATTACAAACATGACTTTTATTAACTTTTTAGTGTCATGTTAGATATATTTATTTCATGCTTTTATTTAGAGAAGTATTGAGAATTAAATAAAAAAATTTAGATGTGTAGAAGTTAAAATTCATTAGAAGTAAAAATAAGTGTAAACTACTCTCCACACACATTTGAATGTCTTCTGCATACAGATTCATCATAATGCCCCCAATATATCACAACCATGAGGCCATCCTCCTTCTCTGCATTTCTTCTACTTTATATGCTCCTGTAGATTCTCTCCTCCTCACCTGTGAATCTGTTTCTGTGCGTGTTTCTGTAAACTTTTATCACTGAGGGAGGAACCAACCTGAGAAATTCAACTGCCTCTTATTGGCTACTTTTCAGGAAATCCCACCTCCATTGTTTTCTTTCTAGTTGCAGATAGGGACATTAGCAAAGCATATATTTAGGCAGGTTTGCCAACTTAGTGCTTTTCTGACCTCTTGCACCTTTATTTTTTTATATATATATATATATATATATATCTCATACAAACTCTTCATCCAATATTGTTTGATTTTTCTTTTTTTTTGGGACCTAGAAAAAAAACATTAACCCGGCCACTCTCTCCATGTAGCAACACAGAAATTTTTACATTTGGAAGATTTAATCGGCCTTTAGCATAGGGAACCTGTAAAGTAAGAAGCTTAACTCTTGGGACCCTCCTTCACCATAAACATCCAGATATTGCTTGATTCAAATCTTTTAAAAATGTCATTGGGACGATTAAGGGGACACATTGGAATAAGTTTATAAATTTAGATAATATAGTAATTTTGATGGAGTTAACTCTGCCAATCAAAGATAGTGGGAGATCCATCCATCGTTCCAGCTGTGCTTTGGTTTTTATTAATTATTAAAGTGGAATTCTTTTGGTAAATTTGATCATATCCGGAACTAATATTAATGCCAAGGTATGTAAACTACCGTCAAATCTAGTTACTTTTGTTCTGTTTTAATGGAGACTTTGTGACAGCGCATTAAAGCACCAAACTCTGTTCTCCAAAGCAAGGAACCTATGGACCTGTAAAGGGCTGGTTATCCTCCTGCAGCAGTGTGTCACAGTGAGCTTGTCGCAGATATATTTGATTTATGTCCAATATTGAAGCGTGGTCTGTGCTATGTTATTCCACGCCACAACGCAAGAGGGAGAATCAGGAACTAGCTGTGGGTCTAGACACGGCCGAGGAGGTGAGGAAGTGGGGGCAAGTTTGTACGACAATGGACGGACATGAGGGCCAAATAGAGCGGGGATCCAGGTGGAAAAAGGCTGGCAAAGCATTTTCCAGCTAATCACAGTAATAGGCACCCTTTTTTAGACACCTTTTTTTGATTTTTGTAAAAAGATTTCCAAAGCATAATTGAATTTCCCTCCACTTTACAGTTACTTGGCAACAAAAACTCCCGATGAAATGCATTAAAATCTGCAGCTAACGCACAAATAAGAGCCTTGAAGTGCAATTTTACTGCATTCTACCTTAAATTTGATTTCTTTTTTTTTTAAATGAATGTATACAAACATGTCTTATTTATCAATACTTAAACATGCATTACTGACCCAAACTGCTGTTCTGTTTTAGATTCGTATAACTCACAAGAACCAAGCTAATATGCTCATGGCTGCAGCGACCAAAACGTCGAGCTTCTTTCACCATAAGTAACCATCAACACCTCACCCAGCCTGCAGAGGGTCATCGCTGGTTATTTGAACCTGTTAACCTGTGTGTTTATACCCTATGCGTCTTTCTCCTTCTTCCCCTGACACAGTTTTAACAAACCCAGTAAAACTACAGAGAAACGTAAGGTTTGCATGTCTGTATCGCTGCTTCTGTGTGCCAATTTTAATGTGATGCAACCCAAGTCTGTAAATGGAACCAGAAAATATTCCCCTTCTTCTCTGTCTGTTTATGTTGTGATATTTGTTGCAGAACATGTTTACAGTGGATTATGTTCATTTCTGTGTTTTAATGCAGCTTGTAGAGCTCCCTGCAGCTCACCTCACACAAAACCTCACCTGACATCTCAACAAAAACTCTCCATCAGTGTTTATCCAAGAAGGAATGTCAATAATGTTGATATTACATGACAACAAATATGAGGGGAAACTGATTTCAATGTCTCCATTTTGTCTTCAATTGCTTTTATTGTTTAAATGTGGATTTTTTTCCAACACCATTCCTGAATATTTTGCTTACCAGAGTTTTAGAATTAAGTAATTGAATAATGTGCTAATATGATTGTGACGCTTAAAGCAATTATCAAGTTTATGCCAAAATGTGGTGGAGTTAAAGCCAAAATAGAGTTATTTTATGTTTAGACTGTTTAAATTATTTTCCCTTGGCCATTGTCTCATGTTGGTCTAGTTTTAATGAAATAGGCTACTTGCATGTGTGTTTATGTATTGTGTCAGTGTCAAACTGTATTTGTCATTTTGTTTTTGGTTTTCTCCTTTTAAGTGAACCTTGTGCGACATCTAATTGGTGAGATGTATTAAACTTTTTCAAACGGATTGAGTCTTTAATGAGAAAGTAGAAGAAGAAGTTGATGCATGTCTTGTTCTTTCTTCTACGTTCAGAATTTATGACATTTTTAAGTTAAATAATTATTAGAATTTCACAGATTCAAGCTCTGAGAATCACATTTACCTGCTTCTTTTACACTGTTAAAAATGGCCAGGCTGAGATATTTCTTTCTGACAACTATTACCAACTTGATGACGGCACAGCAGTGGTGTCAAAAGTCCACAAATTTGTTACTTAAGTAGAAGTATAGATACTGCAGTTTAAAAACACTCTGGTAAAAGCTGAAGTTTCAACACAACCTCTGTACTCAAGTAAAAGTGAAAAAGTATGTGCTCCAAAGTATAAAGTAACCTTAAAAAAAACAGCCAGATGCCACTAAATGAATTGAAAGCTAATTTTTTCGACTATTTCAAAAAATTCTTTTAGATAGAGCCAAGGATGAGGGAGGTCTTGATGGTCTCCATCTCCTGATACGCTCTGGCCTGTGTCCAACCTTTCAGACATTTCAACATCTTTTTCTGAATTCAACATTGTAGCGTGGCATAGACAATTCATGTTAGGAGTTTGAAGAACACCTGCTTGCTTCTGATGATTAACTTTAGCTAACCAATGAGTGTTTGTGTTATATGACTCATCTAATTACACTAGTTTTCACTAGATGTGGATGGAGCCAATGATCTGCACTGGATGGCGCACATGACGTGAAATAAATATTTATAAACATTAAACCGAAGCCAAGAGTAACGAGCAACGTTTGTTTAAAAATTAAAGGAATAGAAAGTACAAATACTTGTGTAAAAATGTAATGAGTAGAAGTCAGAAGTAGGAAGAAAAATACGTAATGGAGTAAAGTATAGATACCTAAAAAGTGTACTTAAGTACAGTAATGAAGTATTTGTACTTCATTACTTGACACATCTTCAGTTATGGGGTATGTATTGCAAGCAAAGATAAGTAAATGGAGATTTAAAAGGAAAAAAAAGCAACACAGAATTTAAACTTTAAAAAAGGTCTTAATATATAAAAAAAAGGAGTTTTGTTTCCTCAGATTTTATTAAAAAATGCCTTTTTTTTCTTTTTCAAAAAAAGTTTTACAAATTACATTCTTTTTAAATAGAGTTACATTGTAAAGCTAATTTGTAAAACTACCTAAAAAAGACATTAGAGAGAATAACACTGGAAATAAAATCTGTAAAAGAAAAAAAATATATATATATAAAAAAATGTTAACTCTCAAATTTTATTTTTATTATGATCTTTGCAAACTTTCATTTCTGGTTTCTTTTATTTTGTTCCAGTTACCAAACATGTTCTGTTGTTGCAACAAAAATGGAAAGAAAATTAACTCCATACACAATTACAGTTTGTTAAACCAGTTTTTGTTGACTGGAGGGTTGTTTTTTTTATGCTCTATCTAACAGTTAGTTAAATTAACCTGTATGCCTTTTACCAGATTAAAACCAAGCATTTTGGCCCATTATACACTCAATGGGACATAAAGTGATGAACATGTGGAAAAGCAACTTAATATTGAGTGTGGCTGAGATTCTGTGATGCTAGAGGCGTTCTTGCTTTCTTCCTAAGGAGTTCATCAAATCATGGTGGGTTCTAGATATAAAATAAATGTGTCGTTGCTTGGCCTCTAAGTGGATAAGGATCAAAATAACAGATCAAAAGAAAATTGGCAAACGTGCTTCACTAGTTGTTAGATTACTAATACTATTTAATAAATGTATTCAAACCAATTCAAAATGCAAATCTAAGAGGCAGATAGAATGTTATTTGGTACTATAATGTATTAAATGATTTGCTTAATCAGAAATCAATAACCTTTAGTTAATTGATTCCTAACCTTCAATGATTGAGCTAGTAGGGATCAGACATGAGGGGAGTCATCTTAAAGAACACTTTTATGTAATCAAATGTAATGATCATATGAGAAAACACATGAAGGTTAACAATGTATATAAAGTTTGTTTTAGCTTTCCAAACAACAGCTCAAAACACGTCAGCATGTGGTACCAAGCAACCCAACTTATTAGCTCAACTAAGCCAGACTTGTAACCTCTGCTGATCTGAGCTTGGAAAAGGCAGTTTTGCCTCCAGTGTTCAGTAGTGGGGCTCCCCATTGTTCTCAGGTGCTCCACATGAAACTCAGATAGAAATTTTGCAGAATGCTATTTTTTGGTTCAGAAGTTAGCCACCAGGTCCACTTAGCCTTTGATCAGTCTGGAGATTCTTGTCTTTCGCTTTGTGTCCTTCCTCATGAAATGCTACCTCAAGGAGAGACTCATGAGCAAAAACAAGAAAGACTGTGGGTTGCTTTATTTTCCCAAAGCACCGTCGTGAGCAGAATGACTTGTCCCGGTCGACAGATTGCAGTTTGCAGCAATTAGAAAGTCCAGAAGCCAAGACCAACTGCATACTTCTACGGCAATAATCACATTAAATATTAGTGTCATGATTGGTTACAGAGTAAGCCCAATATGCAGAACACAAACGGAAGCTGATGAAAAGTTTAACAAGGTTTATTGTTACACAAGCACATAAATATTTCAACTGGAACTGGTTCAGGCCTGGGGGCAGGTTCACTGGAGTCTGCAGAGATGATAGTTCAGTTAGCGCAGGGACAGATGAGTTATGAGACTTTGAGTTAGCTGAAGAGTACCTTGAAGGAGTCCGGGTTTCTCTTTGAGAGAGGTTACTGTTGGATCCAGAGACTGTTTGTTCAGCAGAGTCCAATAACTGCTTCAGCGTCTTACTTCTGACTATGAGGGCAGACCTTGATTTGGGTTTCCAGCTCTTAACCAAGAGCTGCGGGGGAATCCAGAGAAGAGTCTTCAGGTTTGGCTCACGAGGGTAGGCTCGGCAGGTTAAGCTCATCCAGAGCTTCACGAAGAGACAGGATTCCTGTGAAGCAAAAACAAGGAAGAGTTAGAATCTTATCTCAACCAGAGATAGCAAAGATTATTAGGTTTACTAGGCTCAGGTGCTAACCAAACTAGATCAACACTGCGGCGTTGAGGCAAGGTCTGAAGGCAGGTTATATAGTGGTGGATCCTCTGATGATGAGATGGGCCACAGGTGTGCTGGGAGCTCAGCTCAGGAGGACCCACGGCGAACTCTGCTGGAGGAAGGTGGTACAGCTCCAGATCCCAACAGTACCACCCTCTCAACAACCGCCTCTTGGCGGTCCAGAAGAAGTCGACGGGAGGGAGCGCTCATAATCCTCTATCAAGGACGGATCGAGGATGTAGGAGCCAGGAACCCATTGGCGATCCTCCGGACCGTAGCCCTCCCAATCGACGAGGTACTGCGATCCGCGACCTCGCCGACGGGAGTCCACGATCCGGCGGACGGTGAAGGCAGGATGTCCATCGACGTCCAGGGTGGGTGGAGGGGAGTTGGATGGAGGGCACAAAGGACTGGTGACAACTGGTTTTATCTGGGAGACGTGGAACGTGGGATGTATGCGGAGAGTCGAAGGAAGGTGCAGGCGTACGGCAGAAGGGTTAATGACCTGGGCAATCCTGTATGGGCCAATGAATCTCGGAGACAACTTACGAGACATTCCCTTGAGGGGAATGTCCCGAGTGGAAAGCCATACCTCCTGACCGATGGCTAACTCTGGGGCAGGGCGTCTCTTGGAGTCCGCAAAGCGCTTGGTGGTCACAGAAGATCGATTGAGGGAGGCGATGGTGTCCCTCCAGACACGTTGACAGCGGCGGATGTGGTGATTGACAGATGAAACCGAAATCTCTCTCTCATCTGCTGGGAAAAGAGGGGGTTGATATCCGAGACTGACCTGGAATGGTGATTGACCGGTGGAAGCAGACTTGAGGGAGTTGTGGGCATATTCGATCCATGTGAGGTATTGACTCCAGTCAGTGGGGTTGTTGGAGGTCAGACAGCGGAGAGTCGATTCGAGCTGTTGGTTCATTCTCTCTGTCTGACCGTTGGACTGTGGATGATAACCAGAAGTGAGTGACGACTTACAATTCAGAGCTGCACAGAAGGCCTTCCAGACTTGGGAGATAAACTGCGGTCTGCGGTCAGAGAGAATTTCCTGGGGAATACCATGGAGTCGGAAAACGTGCTTCACTAGGAGCTGAGCGGTTTGAAAGGCCGTGGGCAGTTTCCTGAGGGGAATCAGATGACATGACTTCGAAAATCGATCGACGATGGTAAAAATAGTTGACATACCTCTGGAGATTGGGAGACCAGTAACAAAATCTATGGCGATGTGAGACCAGGGACGAGTTGGGACAGGAAGAGGATGCAACAGGCCAGAAGGCGGTTGATGTGAGGTCTGGTTTCTGGCACATATGGAGCAGGCCAAAACGTATTCCTTCACATCCTTGTGTAACG